CCAAAAATGCCCTTTTATACTTAATTGAAAAAATAGGGATCATCTTATTCACAACCCTGTGTTTCCTATTTACTGATGCGTTGTGAATCTTCGCGCTAGCCTAATTCATACAGATCTCTTCCAGATTTCATCATGCAGACATGGGGTGTGCTCTCCTGAGTTATTTGTCCCCCTCCCACATTGTGTGTGTGTGTGTGTGTGTGTGTGTGTGTGTGTGTGTGTATCTACCTCCCATAAGCAATGCCGTGACAAACATTCTTGCATATGTGTCTTTGTGTAGTTGCTCAACTATCACCTCAGGGTAAATTCCCTAGAATACCCAGGTTTCTTAGATGAAAGGATGCAAACATTTTTAAGACTTTGGGCACACAGTGACGCAGATTGCTCTTTAGAAAGATCATACACATTTACCTGCTATTCCTGTGCCCTTGGCTCATGTCCTTGCCAACACTGGCCAGTCTGATAGATGGAAGATGTGATCTTATTATCTGTCACCTCAGTTCTTTTAATAACTAGCGTGGCTGGGCATGTTGCCATGTGCTTGTTTCTGCTGGAGTAGTTGGTTCATGTCCTTTGCACATTTTTTGTTACCCTTATGTATTTAAAGTCTAATTACACATGTAGCATGGGTCTGCATGTTGGTGAAGTAGGCCAAATATAAAGCTCAACTTCCCTGCTGCTCTCATCCTCCATTTTTTTTTTTTTTTTTTTTTGGGTCGGTTGTGGGGCTTGCACCCTGAGCCTGGGCTTTGTCCCTTAGCTCTTCAGCTCAAGGTTAGTGCTTGACCACTTGAGCCACAACGCCACTTCTGGTTTTCTGAGTGGTTTATTGGAGATAAGAGTCTCACGGACTTTCCTGCCTAGGCTGGTTTTGAACCATGATCCTCAGCTCTCAGCTTCCTAAGTAGCTAGCATTTCAGGCATGAGCTACCGGTACCCGGCTTCTTATCCTCCTTTTTGGGTATGATATACTCTTTTTTGCTTATTTGACTTTACCGCTTGGGCCATACCCCCAGCCCCAATTTTTTTCCTATTTATTTTGGACTGTGAATAGAAGTTATTCACAAACTTTTCTGCCTGGGTTGACCGTGAACCACTATCCTTTAGATGTCAGCCTCCTGAGTAGCTAGGGTTGCAGGCTTAGTGTCCAGCTTTAATAGTTAAATATTTATTCTTCCAAATCATTTTATGCATGTATACACATGTAAGTAGGTTTTGATTTTACTTTTAAGGTTGTTGTTACAAGAGTGGGGCAGTAGTCCATGTGGTATCGTTTAATTTGCTTCCTCTCCCAAGTTAATGTGCCTTGGAACATATTTTCTGTAACCAATACAAATCTATTGCTTTTTTGTTTTTTTGTCAGTAATGGGGCTTGAACTCAAGGCCTAGGTGCTGACCCTGAGCTCTTTTGCTCAAGGCTAGTGCTCAAGGCTACCGCTTTGAGTCACATCACCACTTTCGGTTTTCTGATGGTTAATTGGAGATGAGAGTCTCACAGACTTTCTTGCCTGGGCTGGGTTTGAACCACAACCCTCAGATCTTAGCCTCTTAAATAGCTGGTATTACAGGTGTGAGCCACCAGCACCTAGATTTCTATTTCGCTTTTGAATGTTTGCATAGTTTTATTCTTTTTGGACAGTGATGTTGATTTTACATACCATAACATCACCCATTAAAAGTGTATAATTGTGTGGGTTTTGATACAGCTGCAGAGTTGGGTCACCATCACCACAATCAGTGTAGAACATTCTAGCACTTTGAAAAGAAATATGGTATCTTTTACCTCTCACCCTTCTAGGTTCCCAACCCTGTCAGTCTCAAGCAACCACTAATCTACTTACTGTCTCTATGGATTTGGCTGTTCTGGACATTTCATATGAATGGAATAATTTAATATGCAGTTTTTATGTTTGTTATTTCAAAGTGCATCCATGTTGTAGCATGTGACAGTACTTAGTTCCTTTTTACAGCTGAATACTATTCCAGTGTATGGATGTGCTACATTTGGTTATCCATTAATGGACTTTTGGCTATTGTGAATAATGCAGCTGTGAACATCCGAACACAAGTATTCATTTGGTTGCTGTTTATTGTTTTTTCAGATATACACAGAAAAAGAATTTCTGGGTCATGACAACTCTAAGTTTTCAAGAAACCATGGAGGCTGGGTCATGTTACATTTCTTTGAGCAATCTGAAGGTTCCAATGTCCCTACATCTTTGCCCACACTAATTTTATGTATTTAAAAAAATTATAGTGGTCTGTGTGGAAACTCATTGTGGTTTCGTTGGTAATTCCTGGTGATTAATGACATTGAGGCTTTTTATGAACCTACTGTCCGTTTGTGCTCTGTGTGTGTGTGTGTGTGTGTGTGTGAAAGAGAAAGGGGGGGAAGATCTATTCAAGTCTGAATAGATTCCTATCTCCCCCTTTTTTGGTCATACTGGGATTTGAACTCAGGGTCTTGTACTTGCTAGACAGACACTTTTCCATTTGAGCCATACCCTTGTTCTTTGCTTTAGTTACATTTGCATAAGGTCTTGCATCTCGCCCAGCTTAGCCTGAACTTTGATCTTATTCTCCCCACGTAGCTGGGATAACAGGCATGGTGCCCAGATTTTTATTGGTGTGATGGGATTTCACAAACTTTTGTTTTTCCTGGGCTGGCCTTGAACCACGGTCCTCCTGATCTTGGCCTCTCATGTAGCTGGGATGACAGGCACCTGTCACCACACTCAGCTGTGATTTAGATGGTAGTCTGGCCCAGGCTGGCCACCAACTACAATCCTCCTGATTTCTACCCAGTTAGTTAGGATTACATGCCTGAGCCCCCATACTCAGATTCTTTGCTCATTTTAAAATGTAGTTATCTTTTTAAATTATTGAATTGTTGGAGTTCTTTATATAGTGTATATACAAGTCCCTTACCAGATATATGGTTTGCAAATATTTCCTACTATTCTGTAGACTATATTTTTTATAGTGGTCATGAGGATTAGTATTAATTCTTCTTTAAATGTTTTCTATTAATTAATTAATTAATTATGCTGGTCCTGGAGCTTGAACTCAGGGCCTGGGCCTTGAGCCTCTCTGTGCTCAATGCTAGCACTCTACCACTTGAGCCACAGCACTACTTCTGCCTTTTTCTGTTTATGTGGAATTGAACCCAGGGTTTCATGCATGTGAGGCAAGCACTGTACCACTAAGCCACACTCTCAGCCCTTGTTTTCTATTTTTAAATATTTAAAAAAGTTAAATATTTGCTAGAATTCACAAATAAGGGCATCTGGGTCTAAGATTCTCTTTTTTTTCCTTTTTCTTTTTTTGCCGGTCATGGGGCCTAAACTCTGGGTCTGGGTGCTGTCCCTCAGCTCTTCAGCTCAAGGTTAGCGTTCTACCACTTGAGCCAGAGTGCCACTTCTGTCTTTTTCTGCTTATGTGGTGCTGAGGAATCGAAACCAGGGCCTCATACATGCAAAGCAAGCACTCTACCACTGATCCACCTTCCCAGCCCCAGGTCTAGGATTTTCTTTATGGATAGTTTTTTTGTTCACTAATTCAATCTCTTTGTTATATTTCTTTTTCTTTTTTTAGTCAGTCATAGTGTTTGAACTCAGGGCCTTGGCACTGTCCCTGAGCTCTTTTTGCTCAAGGCTAGCACTCTACCACTTTGAGCCAAAGCGCCACTTCTGGTTTTCTGGTGGTTAGTTGGGAATAAGTGTTTCATGGCCTTTCCTGCTAGGGCTGGCTTTGAACCATTATCCTCAGATCTCAGCCTGCTGAGTATCTAGGATTACAGGTGTGAGCCACCAGCGTCTGGTTATACTTCTTTTGTGTGTGTGTGTGTGTGTGTGTGTGTGTGTGTGTGTGTGTGTGTGTGTGTGTGTGTGTGTGTGTGTGTGTGTGTACCAAAGCTGGAATTTGAACTTGGAGCCTGGGTGCTGTGTTTTAGCTTTGTTTGTTTAAGGCTGGTGACCTACTACTTGAGCCACAAGTTCACTTCCAGCTTTTTGGTGGTGGATTGGAGGTAAGAATCTTACAGATTTTCCTGCCTGGACTGACTTTGAACCATGGTCCTCAGATCTCAGTCTCCTGAGTAGCTAGGATTCTCTGCAATAGTCCAGCTATTTGTAGTATTTCTTTTTGAGTCAGTTTGATAGTATTTTCCTAGTAATTTGTTCATTTTACCTATCTAATTTATTTACTGAGGGTTGTGTGTACTATTTGCATTTTCTCCTGTGAATGTAGTTTAACCAATTTTTAAAAATACAGATTGGCATTTCCATTTGTGAAGTTGTCTCCAAACAATGCAGCAGTGAATATGCTACATGTCTTTATATGCATGCAGAAGTGTGCTAAGCTATAGATCACTAGCACTGTAGTTACTGGACTGGACGTGTGTACATTTCAGATGTCTTGTCTTTTCCATCCACCTTTCTATCTTTGTGTATTCGTGTGAGCTCTCTCTATTGACAATCCCGGTCTCCTGGAGACTAGAATTGGTGAGAACGCCCTGTGCAGCTGGTGCATTTGTATTTAGAGCAAGTGGAAAAACTATACTTGGGATCTGCTTATTTGGTTGCTTCTCTGGTCAAAAGTATTGGGTATGGGTACCCCAAGCCCTGTGCTGGACATCTTGACTTTATTGTTGGCCTGAAAACATCCCACAGCCATGTTCTGCTGGGGTCTGAGTGCACCTGGGCACTTCGGGAACCTTGGCTTTTTCCAGAGGCCCCACTGCCCCTTGCCAAGACAGAGATGGAGTAGCTGCTCTCCTGGGGGCCAGGGCCAGCCCAGGCCTGTTTTTATTTCCTCTTTTGTTGATGGTGTGTTCTGGGCCTCAAGCTCTGCAGAGGCAACAATCAAATTATCTTTCCTCTTGACCTGAATGAACCTGGTCCCTGGGGAAGCCGGGCCTGGGTTTCCAGATAGTTGAGCCAGAGACTTTACCAGCCCTGCACCCACCTGACTTTCTCACCCACCTGATTTATATCTTTCAGTCAGCGGAGTTCTTCGAGATGCTGGAGAAAATGCAGGTAAGCATCACCCATGTGGGAGGCTGTGCAGACCTGGGGGTGGGGCGTGGCAAGACACCAGGAGGAGCTTTGGGGAAAGGGGCCGCTCAGCCCCTACAACTGAGACCATTCATGGCTGAGCAGTATAGAGCCCTTGGGAAGACTGCAGCCTGGGGACCAAAGAGGGTACCATGTGCCCCATGGGATGGGGGGGGGGGGGAGAAATGCTTGGAAGGGAATTTCTTCTTTGAGTGGGCTGGAAAGGAAGCTTGCAAAGGCCAGCCCTGTCTCAGTGGTATCAGTCATCTTTGGGAGGCAGAGCCACAGCTGGGAGGCAGTCCTGAGTTCAAATCCAGATTGGACACACACTCACAAAGGTTCCTTACCATTTTCAAGTCACCTTTATAATTTTTGTTGTTGGTTGTGGGGCCTGGGCGCTGTCCCTCAGCTCTTCAGCTCCAAGCTAGCATTCTACCACTTGAGCCACAGCGCCACTTCCGGCTTTTTTTCTTTTTGCTTATGTGGTGCTGAGGAATCGAACCCAGGGCCTCAGGCATGCAAGACAAGCGCTCTACCACTGAGCCACCTTCCCAGCCCCTCAAGTCACTTTAAATAAATAAGAATACACATGTCCACTGACAGTGAAATGAGGTTTAGCCTCCAGCCTCAAACTCCAGGGTCCCACATGTCAGGTTCCAACACACCAATATAGAGAGCAAGAAAAAGGGGAGGAAGAGAAAAGCGGTTTAGTATGAAGCATAGTACTATGAAAAGAACTTAGTACTTGAACTTCAGCCTGGAAAGAAGCTAAGTAATAGTACTTCAGCCCATTTGTAGTGTACAGACATGAGCTTAAGGCTTAAACAGAGAAAGAATGGGTGCAGAGTTGTGCATAGACAGTCCTAGTCCAAGGATTGCCTGGTTGATCCGTTATCCTAGTTCTAATTTTGGAAGGGATTTCTCTCAAAGAAGAAGTTATTGCCATTATCAGCTGTGATTGATACTAGCTGGACAGGACAGTCTGGGTGGACAAGCAAGTCATTGCTGCCTAGTTTGTGATCTGTCCTGAGGAGGTTGGCTGTTGCATTCCTTGTGGGGGTAGATGTTAGAGAGTAGACCTGCCCTTCTTGGACTCCAAGGTGAAGGGCTTCAAGGTGGGTGGTTCAGAGCAGAGTCAGATACAAAACTAGGGACTGAGATACCATATCCTCAGTGAAATCATAGGCCAAAGTAAGGTGTCAGCACTTTTTTTGTGTGCAGGTACTAGGGCTTGAACTCAGGGCCTGATACTTTTGTATAGTTCTTTTCATTCAAGACTGGTACTCCACCATTTGAGCTATGTATGCCTCCACTTCCAGCCTTTTGGTGGCCAATCAGAGATAAGAGTTCTCATGGTCTTTTACTGCCCAGGTTAGCTTTGAACCACCATCCTCAGATCTCAGCCTTTTAAGTAGCTAGGATTACAGCTGTGAACCACCGGTACCTGGCCCCCCTCACCTATTTTTCAATTTTTTATTTTTAGTAGCTTTCAGTGGGCCATCTCATACCATCTTTGTGGAGGGTTCTTTGTTATCACAATCCATGTCTGCAGGCCCAAAAGCTGTAGGTTAAATCCAACACACATTGGGTGTGGGGGAATTGTGGCTGTACCACTTAAGTAGAGGTGTTTGCCTCCTGTTCTTCCCTGAACAATACAGTCTAATAACCGTTGACACAAGTCTGCATCCATTAGGTCATAGATGTAATCTAGAGATGGTTTAAAATAACAGGAGGACGATGTAGGTCTGAGGAAAACACCAGGCCACTTTGTATCAGGGAACTGAGTATTTGAGATTAAAAAAAAATTATCCATGGGGTTTTTTTTTTTTTGGAGCCAACAAATTCTATTGCTCTAGGGGGTGTGAGCAGAGGTACGTTTCATTGATATTTCATGCACTTCTTCAAGATCAGAGATGGATAGGCATTCATTGATCCTGAAAAGGTCTCCACATGTGGGCATGCTAATGTTCTTCCCATACCCTTGGTGAGAAAACTGAGGTCCAGCTATTATTCCATAAAGCATGGAAGGGTGCATGGCTACTTAGTGCTTCAGCCAGAGGGCTTGGCTGTAGTGTGACAGTACTTCCCATCCTGAGTCAATGAGGAATATTCTATACTGAGGGTCTGGAAGCTTCAGGATGGAGTAGCATCTAGGGGTGATCCTGAGTTGCTGAAGGAGCTATCCCTGAGGGTGAGGAGGGGGTGGAGGGATTGTTGGAGGGAGAGAGATTATTGGTGCTTGGGGTGTTACTAGGAGTACGTTATTAAGACTCTCTTCTGCACCCAGCAGTGTGTGGACCCCAATTCATTCTATTTGCACCAGGAAGTTATAAACCAGTCTCCAAAACAGGGCCCACACGTGTGTTGCTGAGTGGTGGAAGACAGAATATAATTAATGGCTCAACTGCTTGAAGCAAAGCTGGGATTTTCCCCTCAAGCCAATGAGATCCTGACAGGCTAGTGGGGGGGTGGGCTCAGCAGCTCCTCTACCTCCTTGAGGGTTCCTCCTGCAACTTTCCTGTTCTCAGCCCCACCTGGAGGCCTCTCCTCCCCCAGAAAGGGAGCGAGGAAACCCAAGTTCAGTGTGTAAGAGTTTCTCATGTGTCCCCCGAGAAGGCTCACAGTTTCCAGAAGATGTCTTAGGGGAAGGGCCAGTGGTGAAGCACTGCGTGGAGTGGCAGGATTTCTATCTTGGGTGTGGGCTCCATCTTTCCTCATTAAGTCATTGTGGAAGCCGAGCCCCAGAGCAGTTTAAGAGCCTGCGTCCCACTTGCTAATTGTGAAGAACTAAAACTAGGATTCTTGATCCCTGACTCCCAGCTCCAGAATCTAGGAATTGAAGGAGGTCACCCTCATTAAGTGGGGCTGGAGCCCCTGTGAAACAGGAGGGGATAGGGGTACAAGCTTTAGATCTTTCTGTCTTGGGTTTAAGTCTCAGACTGACAGTCTGTTAATTGAGTAAGTTTGGTCAACCGGCTCTCCCTCTCTGAGCCTCCAAGTCTTCAAGGGAGGGAGAGGGGAGAAGAGGAAGCCATGACAGGTTAATAAGAAGAATACATGGAGGAGAGAGAGCCCGGCTTGAGGCAGGGGTCCCATGGTGGGGGAGGGGAGGGAAGGAGGAAGGGAGGCAGTGGCCCAGAGTTCTGAGGGAGGTCTGTGCTCAGCCCTAGGACTGTTCCCAAACAGCCATGACTCATGAAAGACCAAACAAACTCCTGACATCACTCTCCTCTGCCCCCTTCCCCATTTGCCAATCTGGACAAAGTGTACGGGGCCACCCAGGTGGTTTTCTGCCTGTGTGTGAGAAACACCTGTCTGGTGGGTGGGGCCCTCCCACACCTTCCTGAACAGTGTGTCTCCAGGTTGACTCAGCCAAGAAGTCCAGAGATGCAGCATAAACCCACCCAGCAGTGGGCCCTGCTGCTGTATGGGAAGCATGGAGTGTGGGCATACACCTGGTGGGCAGGGAGCCTGCTTTCAAGTCCTAGCCCTGACACTCACTAGCTTAGGCATACAGCCTCTTCTAGAGCCTCCGTTTCCCCGCTAGTGGAAAGGTGATGTGAGGGCCAGGGAAGGGCTGCTTCCTACTCTTCCCCCTCCAGAGGGGACTGTTATTTCCCCCCCTAGTTTGTTCTCCCAGTCCATACCCTCCCCTGATTTCTCAAACACCCCATGTTCCCCACTTGAGTGACCTAGGTGGGTCAGAACCTGGCTGTAGGGCTACTGGACAGGGAGTTGCTCCCAGAAGTGAATTTCCCAGGCACCTACAAGTGGACTTCTTTAATCTAGTCCCAGGCTTTGAATCTGACCTTGCAGTAGCAGTGTTTCTTGCTTCTGTCGGATCAGGGGTTTGAGATATAGATGGAGAGGCTGTGATAGGAAGCACTATAGGTCAATGACAGGAAGCTCTCAGTGGGATGAGGACCAGGACCAGGCTTCCTGTCTGCCACCTGCAGGCCGACCCACCTGCGGGACACAAAAGCTCAGGGTTGGCTCTTACGCTGGCAGACTCATTTCCTTCTTTCCCCTTTGCCTGATACCTATGGGGACCTAGAGAAGATACTTAAGCTTCAGCATGCTGCTGCTGCCAAGCCATGGCACTATTAACGCATAGCATCTACTGTCTGTCAGTCAGTGTTCAAGGGCTTCACCTGTTCTCAGCCTTCAGCCCTCACTGCAGTGTGAGAAGCTGTTGGCATTCCCATTTTGCAGACAGGACCATGAGCTACACCGAGGTTTTTGTGACTTGCCCGTCAGACTAATATCAGTGTTTGTATTTGTCATATAAACCCAGGTGATCTGGCTCAAGTTCAAGTTCATGGTTTTGTGTGTGTGTGTGTGTGTGTGTGTGTGTGTGTGTGTGTGTGTGCCATTACTGTGGTTTGAACTCAGGGCCTTGCACTCTTTTTTTTTGCTCAAAACTAGTACTCTTCCACTTGAGCCACAGCTCCACTTCTTTGTAGCTTTTTTTGCTGATTAATAGGAGATAAGAGTCTCATTCACTTTCCTGCTCCAGCTGGTTTTGAACCAAGATCCTTCGATCTTGAGTAGCTTCTTGAGTAGCTAGGTGTGAGTGGCTGATACCCAGCACAAAGTTCGTGTTCTTAGCCAGCTGCTCTGATGCCTCATCTGGGGTTACTTTAAGGGCTGACAGCAAGCAGGGATGGGAGGTGTAAGGGCTTCCATACCTGCCAGCTCTTGCACTCTGGTCATCACTATCCCCAAGCAAGGTGCCTCAGAACCCTTGCAATGGGCCCTTTTTGTGATCTTTGCTTCCACGAATCTTCTCTTCCTTGGTTCCACAGGGGATCAAGCTTGAAGAACAGAGGCCAGGACCCCAGAAGAACAAGGTGGGCTGGGGGTGGCAGGTGGGCTGGGTGGGGGAGAGGGACAGAGGGCAAGGAGAGCAGCGAGAGTGATGGGCTCTTCTCTCTTGCACCTGTCTAACTCTGCTTTTCACCAGGAGCACATAAGTGGCTGTCCTTGTTAGACTCATACCAGAAGGGCAGCATAGGGCACCGGTGCCATGCTTCTGCTGAGCAGGCTGTGGGTGGAGGCCTTGGATGAGACCTAATGATGGTCTTGGCCTGACTCCTTCCCCTGTGTTCTGTGCATGCATCTAAACAGTGTTTCGGGCTGTTGGACTTTGGATTTCTCATAAGATTACATTTACAAGGCCCAAGGGTGTAGCTCTTGGAGGTGAGCACTTTACCTGGAGAGGGGGAGTCTAGGGGTCCTCTTTCTGTTCCAGCATTCTATGGTAAGAAGCCAATGTCACGGGGTAACAAAGGCTGAATCTTCTGTTCACTGCATTTGCATTTTGGTGGTGTCAATTTAGAGAGAGAGAGAGGGGCTCAGTGGGTACCAAAATCATATTCAGAGCTGCCTCTAGGCTGCCCTTCCATCTTGCATGCTTTCCCCAAAGCCATGGTACAGCCCACTAGGCTCTGCGGTATACTCCCCAGACCCCGGAGAGAGACGTGGAAACAGTGATTGGACAGTATGGGTAGTACTGGACTAATGGTGGTGTCATATGGCTTGCCTTGCAGGATGACTATATCCCGTACCCCAGCATTGATGAGGTAGGACCCTCCCCACTCCAGCTGCACTGAAACCTCATCTGGGTCTCATCCCTGGGGAGATGATCACCTTTCCCAACCCCATTGGGAGGGAACCTTGGCCTCTCCTCATCTTTGCTTTGTGACCCCAACTTCTCCATGTTTAAAAGGGGGTGCCCATATGGACTTTGCCACTGTGGGGCTACAGAGTCAGTGGTAAAGCTGGAGATGCTGTTGGGCGCAGAGGAGAGCCTCATGGTACTGTCCTTGACCTTAAATCCCAGGCTTCCCATCCCGGAGCCGCTCAGAGACAGGTGGGGACACCACTAGGCCCCTCTTCCTCCTGCAGTCCCTTGCAGCCCTAGAACAGGCTGCAGAGCAAGATCTTCTCTCTGCCTCTAGGTTGTGGAGAAGGGAGGTCCCTACCCGCTAATCATCCTGCCCCAGTTTGGGGGCTACTGGATCGAGGACCCGGAGAACGTTGGCACTCCGACATCACTGGGCAGCAGTATCTGTGAGGAGGAGGAGGAGGAGAGCCTCAGCCCAAACACGTTTGGCTATAAGCTCGAATGCAAGGGCGAAGCCAGGGCCTACCGCAGGCACTTCCTAGGGAAGGTGAGACCCAGGGGGCACTGCCTGGTGGGGTGGACTTGGGGAAGGGGCTCCGTCTTCAGTGGAGAGGGATGACTGGCAGTGTCCTTGGAGCACTGCAGAGTCCCTGTGAGGGGTCCTTGGAACCACCACAGTTAGCGTTGTTGGAAGCCATGATGGGTAGTGGGGGATGAAGGAGGGTGTGATGGGTCTGAACTGTTCCTATCTTGGATGTCTCCATTTTTATCTACATAGCACACACCTCTCATGTCCTCACTCAGGTGAGTACCTGAGGCCCCAGACTGCATGATGTGCTATAAGCATCTGATTGTTTCACAGTGACACAATTCTATTTCTGTCCTTTAGACTTGTTAGATTCCCCAAATCCCAAGGACAGAGGCCAGAACTCTCTAGTTAGAGCGGCTTTGCAGAGTCCCCCCTAGATGAGGCTGCTTCTGAAGCCCAGGAATACCAGGAGGTCTTGTTAAAATGAAGACCTCAGCATCCTACTGTGGTTTGGCTGACTTGGGGAGGGGTGGGCTTCAGGAAGCCAGTGAAGGTCCCCTTACTACAGAGAACCTCTTGCTCTCATTGTGGGGAGGTGCTGGGATTGTTTTGACTTTCTCCCATCATCTGGATTGGTGAAAACTCCACCTGGGAATAAGAAAGTAAGGCCAGGATATGGTGGAGAAGAACCTGAGCTTCAGTGTGCAAACAGAGGTGGGGCTGAGCCCTGAATGTGTTGCTTACTTGTGTGGCCTGGGGCCATGCACAGATTTCCTATCTGGGGAGTGGGAATGACAATGTCATCTTTCTCATAAAGTCGTGGTTACAGTTAAAGAAGATAAAGGGTATTAAATTCATAGCATCGTATCCAACATATTCTGTGTGCTTGGTGGTTGCTCTACCATTACCACTACCACTACCATTATAACCACAACTATAATCACCACCACCACCATCATCATTACAACCACAATTACCACCACACCACCAGCACCGCCATGATCACCATCACAACCACCACCAGTACCACCACCACCAGCACCAACCAACACCATCACAACCACAACTATAATCACTACCACCACTATCATCATCACAACCACAATGCTACTACACCTTCACCACAAGCACCATCACCACTATAATCACCACCAGTACCACCATCCTCACCACCAGCACCATCATAAATACAATCACCATCATCACCTCCACAGCTATAATCACCACTACTACCATCACCCTTACTATCAATACCACCACCATCATCACAACTACAGTTACCATCACACCACCACCACCACCATCACTACCAGCAACAACATCAACACCACCAGTACTATATCATCATCATCAGCAGCAGCAGCAGTGAGCACAGTAGCACCTCTCTCTTCTTTGTTTTTGTGGGGCTTCTCCCTCCTAATGAAGGAGGTGATGGGGGCGGTAGGACCATGTCTGAAGGCTTGCTTCTCCGCTTACACCTCATTTCTGTTTCTAGGATCATCTAAACTTTTACTGTACTGGCAGCAGTTTGGGGAACTTGATCCTGTCCGTCAAGTGTGAGGAAGCTGAGGGGATGGAGTACCTTCGGATCATTCTCAGGTGGGGCTGTTGCGCTGATGGAGGCCAGGCCTCTTCCAGGAGAGGCTGCCATCTGAGGGGGCAGGAAGGACAGAAATACTAGTCCCACCAGTCTAGTCTGGGTGTGCTGGAGCGATTGACCTTCTGGAATACTGTGGCTATACAATAGGTTGCCAGACAGCATGACCCAGGTGCTCCTGCCCAGCTGTCTGATTCTCAAGGTCACCTGGATCAGACCTCTTGCTGTTTCTCTTTCTAGTGTGGGACCCAGAGGCTCATCAAGCTGAGCCACAGTTCCATGTTTCAAGAGGGGGTTAGCCATAACATTGCCTTTGGTGATCACATGGTCGGGAAGATGGATTCAAAGTTTTTGTTAATGGGTGGTGGGGCTTGGGCTCCAGTGTTACAGCAATGTGGGCAACAGGAGCCCTGGTGTATGGCTCGAGCCAGGATACCTCTCTCTGGATTGTGAGCTCCTCAAGGGCAGTAACTGGAACACATTTTTTTTGTTGTTGTTGTTGGTCGTGGGCCTGAACTCTGGGCCTGGGCGCTGTCCCTCAGCTCTTCAGCTCAAGGCTAGCGCTCTACCACTTGAGCCATTGCTCCACTTCTGGCTTTTTCTGCTTATGTGGTGCTGAGGAATCCAACCCAGGGCCTCATGCATGCAAGGCAAACTCTACTATCAAGCCACATTCCCAGCCCTGGAATGCATTTCTGTTGGAGACATCTAACATGTTCTAGAACATGTTCCTGGACCTTTGGACCTGATCCTGGGGTAGGTGCTGGGGACAGCGATGACTGAGACTTACTCCCTAAAGGCTTAGTCTAGCAAGAGAGAAAAACGTAATTTTAATACATGTCCCAAGTATTCCAGTAGTCATTTTCACAGGATTTCTTGGAAGCCCAAGGGAGTCTATATCTTGTTTGCTTCTCCCTAATTGGGGGTATGGGGGAGAAGCCAGAAGATCAAGGTGCTTAGTAGACAGCTGTGATAACCTACCAAGTTCCTGGCCTGTACTCATGCACTCTAGTTGGAAGTTCTTGAAGGTATTTGGAAAAGAGCAATTGCATTTTTTTTCCTGCCCAAATTTTGAAATAAATGTGCAAAAGATCAAGTGCCTATAATCTGGCTTTGGGAGTGTTAGGGAGGGGTATAGTTTGAGGAAGTTATTAGCATCAGGCTAACCTTGGTTTGCTTCTTTATTTAGAAAGGAAACAGGTGCCCTTGTGGAAGTTCCCCTGGGTAGACCTAGTATTTTCAAGGCCTTGAAGAATCGATTAAATAGCCAGAGACCACTTTCTGAAGCAGCAGTACTTGCATCTCCACCTTCAAACAGGATGTGTGCCTACCTCAGCCTCTATGTTTTCATGATAAGAAAATTGCTAGAGCTGGGTATGATGGCACATGCCTGTAATCTGGACCTGAGGCAGGAGGATCACAAGCTCAAGGTCAGCCTGGGCGATATAGGCAATCCTATCTTGGAAGAAAGGAAGAAAGGAAAGAAAATTGCCTCCTTTCTTATTAAGTCTCAGGCAAAGACTGCATGGGATTTCTCAGTGAGATGGCAATGGCACACCAGGATTGAAACTCTTTCTTCTGATATTGTATCCTATCTGATAGGCTTATCAGAACCGAAAGGTAGTAAGGTGCCAGGCACAACAAATACTTTTACTTGTTAATGTATGAGACAGTTAGGATCAACATGTGGGTGATACTGAGTGGAACCCATTCCTTTTCCTTAGGAAGCAATGTAGTATGGGACTGTAAAAACAAAAACCAAACAACCAAAACTGGAGGCTGAAAGTGGAGTTGTGGCTCAAATACTAACAGAATAGCCTGGAATGAAAAAGTTCAGAGATTGCACACAGTCTCTGAGTTCAAGCCCCAGTATCAGCACAGAAAGAAGGAAGGAAGGAAGGAAGGAAGGAAGGAAGGAAGGAAGGAAGGAAGGAAGGAAGGAAGGAAGGAAAGAGGAAACAGGAGGAATTCTGGAATAATTTTTACCTTTTTGAACAGAAGAGGCAGCCCTGAACATCAGAAGTCTTTCTCCAAGAACCCCTTTGTTGTTTGGGACCAACTATTTGAAATGAATGTCCTGGGAATCTGTAGGACAAGGCCAAAATGTGGCTCTCCTCATTTGGAAGCCAGCACACAGTGGGGTAGAGAGAAGCCATATATACCAGTCAGGACACTAGACAATCCATCAGGTACCTGGAGTGTCTGCCAGGCCAAATTGAAGACTAGGCAAGAAAAACTGGTTGTGTGGCCTAGCAGATTTATCAGAGACAAAGGAGAAGTAATGCAGAGGTAGCATTTCCTGGCTGGCAGTGGTGGCTGTCCCAGCCTCACTCCCCATAGACTTCTGAATTATTTACTTGATGCCTCCCAATTGACAGCAGCCAGCTTTGCAGCCTCAGATCTTAGAAGAGCATGCCCACTAACCTCTGTGTGTGCCTCGAGCTCAGCCATGTAAAATCTATTCATTATTTGGGACCATCTCTTCACGTATATACTTGTGTTTATTTGCTGTGAAATTTCTATTCAGAGGCTTGGTTATTTTGTTTAATTGGACTGCTATTTGAAATTTCTACTTAAAAAATCTTGTGGGTAGTAGATAGGTAGATTCAGGAACTTTTGAATCATAAGGTAAAGCTAAATTAATTTAAAAGCAAACACTATTGAGTATGTTCACCTCTACTTTGATAATAAAAGTAGAAATTAACAACAAAAGGTTTTTTTTTAAAAAAACAAACCCACGGTTATAGAATATAGAATATAGAATATAGAACCATGGTTATAGAATATTTATAAAGTCATTACTTTATATATATATATACTTTATATTTATATATTTTATATACTTTATATTATTCTACATAAAAATTAATGGGTTCTATTCAGAACTGTACTTAGAAGAAAATTTATCAACTTAAACAGTTTATTATTAAATAAGAAAGAGTGATATTGACACAGAAGTAACCTCTCTGTGCCTCAGTTTCCTCATCTGTGACATGGTAATGATGTCTCTGTCTTAAAATTGTTGAGCACTGTGTATCTCCTTCCCCCTCCTCCATCTTTGGTGCTCAGAACTCAGAGCCTCTTGCTCTTGCTTGGCTTTTTTGCTCAAGGCTGGCATTCTACTATTTGAACCACACTTCTTCCTCTGTCTTTTTGCTAGTTACTTTGCTAGTTAATAAGAGTCTCTCAGATTTGTCTGCTTGGGCTGGCTTTGAGCCTCATCCTCAGATCTCAGCCTCCTGAGTAGCAGGACCACATAGACATGAGCCACCAGCACTTGGCCTGCACTGTGCCCTTTTGAGCAGCTACAGATAATCAGAAATGGTAGCTGCCACTCTTATGATCGACATAAACCTCAACATATAACCTCAAAAAAGTAAGAGGAAGGAATAAAGATTAAAGAAGTGAATAGATTAGACATAAAAGAACACAGACTTGATAAATCTTGGGTTCCATTAGGGAGAACCTAATTGGTATAGATAACTGGGCAGTGAATATGGTTAAAAGAGAAAACACAAATGTGCAAAATTATATGTAAAAGGATAGATAACTACATATTAAGATTTAATAATTATTAATGGATCTGATGTTCAGTTCAGGCTATGAAATTGGAAATGTTATTTGAGACAGATGCCCTTTTTGGGAAATATCCATTATTAAATGTAACTCGAGATGAGGTTAAAACAACACAAACCAACCCTCAAATGCACCAATAACTATGGAATACATTAGAAAAGTTCCCAAAGAATTATTTCTCCAAGTGTTTCTAGGTTAGATGGTAGGCAGGCAGGTATTTTAAACTTTAAAGGAACAGATTTTGTGTTACTTAAACTGTTCAAGAGAAGAGTATGGAAAGCTTCCCAGTTGATTTGATAATGCTTAGAAGATCTACATTGAAAAAAAAACCAGGCAAATGAAATTTCAAGTTGAAAAGATAGAAAAAGAAAAAAAGTAGGGCTCAGTATTCCTTATGAATATGGACAAATGCTTTAAACAAAATATCATTCTCAGAAACTCAAATCCAAGCAGGCTATTAACCAAAATGTACTGTAGCTAAGAAAGAGTTACTTTAGCATTGCAAAGATGATTCATATGAGGGAGTGAATTATTCTTTTAAAGTCTACTTAAAGTTGTAGTGGTAGGGATACTGTGAGGAATAAACTCTTACCTTGTTTCCTGAACATAAAAAGTAATCAGTATATTCTCCTTCTTTACTAACCTCTTTGTCCTCCTCCTTTTCCTCTTTCTTTTTCTTCTTCCTCAGGGCCTTGTGCATGCGAGGCAAGTACTCTACCAATGTACTATACCTCCAGGCTCCACTTGAGATGTTTGTAGTCCTCTTCTTAATCTTGCTCACCCTCTTATGGACCTGGATTGTCATAAGCTAGTGGGGTGATACAAGAGATAGGTGGAAAGGAAAACAGAAATTCAAAATGGCTTGTATGTGGAATAGGGTTTGAATGTGTATGGAGTTGAGAGGTCGGGCTAGACAGATGGGAAAAAGCTTGGCCATGTACAGATGAGGTTTAAGAGCTTGAGGTTGTTTTTTATTTATTTATTTTTTTGCTGGTTCTGTGGCTTTATCTCTGGGCCTGTGCTCTGTCCCTGATCTTCTTTTGTTCAAGGCTAGCCACCTACCACTTGAACCACAGACCATTTCTGGCTTTTCTGAGTAATTTATTGGAGATAAAGAGTCTCATGGATTTTCCTGCCTGGGCCAGCTTTAAACTTTGATCTTTAGAGCTCAGCCTCCTTAGTATCTAGGATTATAGGTGTGAGCCACTGTTAATTGACTTAGGAGCTTGAGTTTTGTCCTAAGAGCAATAGGAAAGCTATAGAAGAGAGAATGTCACAATGGTCACTCTGGCTAGAGTAAGGATAGTGATTTGAAAGAAAAGGAGGCCCAGGGAAGAAAGGTAGGTCAGGAGGCTTCTGGGATGAGCCAGGTCTCCAGACTGTAGAATGTGAATGGCACTTAGTTACTGGGTGGCCATGATGGGGACTGAATGATGTTGTCTTATACCGAGACTACAGAAAAGAATAGAATAGAAAAAAATAAAATAGAAATGGAAAAAATAAATATGTTAGTAGTTTAAATATGTTAGTAGTTAGTAGTTTAAATATGTTAGTAGTTATAAAAATATAAATGGATTAAGTCATCCCACTAAAATATCAGATTATCAAATGGGGTTAAAAAACCCAGCTAAGAGAGACACACTGATGGAAAAATGATATGGAAAGTTATAACATAAAGCTGGCATGGCAAGATGAAAATCAGATGAAGTAGAACTTCAGGAAGAAGACATTTAGGATAAAGGAAGCACGCCTGAATAATTTGGGGATGCTTTCTTTCGACTCCTGATGTTTCCTGTGGTGTGCAGCAAGCACTTTCGGGTAGCATCCTTGGTTGTCTCCGCTCTCACAGATAGCTGTGTTTGGGAGTACGCGCGGGGTGTGCAACCTGGTTCTTGCTTCATGCTTCTCTTGGGCATTTCTCCTGAGCAACTTCCCACCTCCTCTAGGAAGAGTCTTGGCACTCCCAGCAGGGTGGAAAATTCTGGGAGGAGAGGTTCATTTCACCATCACACTCAGTTGTTGTGTGTTCTCCCATGGTCCATGTATTAGGTCAATAAATTTAAAATAATATAGATTATGTTCCTTGAATATGAGGCAGTTTATAAATCAGCAGTTAAAATATCAAGGGAAAATTGTCTCATGTTTGGAGAGTTTTTTTTCCCTTTTTACCTTTTAAATAGCTCATAGGCTAATGAGAATATCATAAACTGACAAAATATTTAGAATTAAATGGCAATGAAAGTACTACCAATCAGAATGTTTTGTGGTGCACTGAAAGTGGCACTTACATGGAGATGTATAGTTTTAAATGCACTGGTTAAAAAAAGAGAAAGGTTAAATAAGTAAGTCTGCAGTCTAGAAAGGTAGAAAAAGAATAGGAAAAAAAACCTGAAGAAAATAGAGGAAGGAAATTTAAAAAATTACAAGAACAGGTGAGTGAAGTACAAAGCAAAAGTAAAAAGGAATAGAGGCAATCACTAAATCCAAAAGATGCGCCGCCAAAATTAATAAAATAGGTAAAGCTGTAGTTAAGACTTGTTAAGGAAAACAGAGAAAAGTTACAAACAAGGACTGGGGATGCAGTTGAGAGATAAAGTGCTTGCCGGCATTTGTGAGGCACTGGGTTTGATCCCTAGCAACACACACACACAGACTCACTCATACACACACAGACACACACAGACACACAGACACACACACACACACACACACACAAAACCCTAGTATTTTTAGCAGTGAGGGACACAACTAGATGAAGAAAACCAACTTTATATCAACTCTTACAGAAAAACTTAAATTACCCAAATTGACTTAACATGGAGTAAGAAAACCTAAACATCTAAAGAACTGCAATGTATCTTTCTATAAAGATACTTCTGTGAAGTATCCTTTCTATAGAATAACTAGCACTACTCAGGAGGCTGAGATCTGAGGATTATGGCTCAAAGCCAGTCCCAGCAGGAAAGTACATGAGACTCTTATCTTCAATAAACCACCAGACAACTGGAAGTGGCGCTGTGACTCAAGTGGTAGAGTACTTGCCTTGAGCTGAATTGCTGAGGGACAGCTCCCAGGCCCAGAGTTCAAGCCCCACAACTGACAAAAAAAAAAAAAAAAAAAAAAAGTAACTAGCCTAGTGATGTCACAGATGAATTATAACAAATGTCTAAAGAACAGAAAAAAAATCCCTGTATCACAGAAACCATTCCAGAGGTCTGGAAGTGATCCTAAAATGTTTCTTGGCTAGAATAACACTTTGCTCTCAGTACCTGCCAAGAGAAGTACAAGGGGGAAAAAAAAAGAAAATAGGCGGGATGTGAAAATATAAATAAACAATTAACCAATTAAATTCTGAGCACCCACGGCACACAAAGATGGCTGAACAGAAATGTAATCCAGCAGGTTAGCAGATTAATAAAAACCATATGATTATCTAAGCAGATGCAGAGAAGCATTCAGTAAAATTCAACACTTTCATAATGTGCTAAATGAATCAAGGGAACAGGCTAAATTTAGAGTCTTATATGGTGAATCCCTTTATATTTTAAGTCAATCCAGATTTTCAAATATTAGATTATCTTTTCATACAGATTCATTTGCATGTCAAAATCTAAATAGATCCAAAAGCTGGGACTCAGTTCTTTGGAAGAAGACTAAACTTAGAAATAAGCAAAAAAAAAAAAAAAAGTCATGGTGACCTGGAAGGGGGCTAATTGCAGGCAGCTTGAGCAGGCATAGTCTTTGTGTCATTTCCACTGTGATGCCCAGGAAGGGTCTTCCTTTTCCCACGGTGGGGGTGGGGTGAAGGTGGGGGTGGGTGGGAGGGTGGGTGCCTCCTTCCTTTCCTAGGTTGGGTGGAAGGTGGCAGATCTGTGTCCTGGGGAGATCTGCAGTGAGTACCCCAGCCCAGAGTGGTCTTGGCCGCCTTCCTTACTGATTCTGTTTTGGGTGGAAGCCTTTGTCACACCTTGTCTGTGTATGCAGGTCCAAGCTGAAGACAGTGCATGAGCGGATCCCTCTGGCTGGACTGAGCAAGTTACCCAGTGTCCCTCAGATTGCAAAGGTAAAACTCAGTGTCTCAAGAGAGAAGATGGCTTTCCCTGTCATCCCAGGGCTGTTCTGGAGTGAATGGGGTAGAGGCTCTGCCCATGGGGAGGGAGAGGCTACTTTTCCCTGGCATTTGACTCTATGGATGGAGGTAGGGGCTGCCTTCATCTTCCCTTTCCCTCCTTAACTGATCCTTGCTGCTGAGGCTGCTCCAGGAATTATAGAATCATTGGTCTCTGCCCCAAGCAGTCATGGTTAGTTCCAGAGACAGGAGAAATGGAAGACAGGCTGGCCAATGGAGCCTAAACAGTGGGGTGTCAGAAGAAGGTAGATAGGAAAGCAGGAGAGGAAGGACCTAAGCTGGGCTGAAGGAGGATCCAGAGCCATTACTACTCTTGAATAAGAAGCTGGCAGTGGGCGGGGGGGGGGGGGTATGTCACTGCTAGGGTTACAGGGAACCAGTGTTGGCAGTAAAGTGGGGTCAGAAGTGGCTGCCTTACTCAGAGCAGAAATGCTGGGAGAATTGTGCTTGGATACTTTGATTGGAGTTGGGAGTTAGAAAGCTTTCTGGTATTATCTTCTGGGATAAGTCTCAGGCTTCCTCCTCTCACTTTAGCAGGAACCCTTTGAAAGGTTAGTTTCTGGCCTGGGCACCTGTTAGCAAACAGCCAAGCCTGATTGGAAGCCCCATCCTGCGCTATGCCCTCCATCATGGTGCTATCTCTTGGTGGGCAGAGGAGCCCGGAGGACTCTATGTTTCTGAACTCTGTGTTTCTCTCCCTGCTCAGGCTTTCTGTGACGATGCAGTGGGGCTGAAATTCAACCCTGTCCTGTACCCCAAGGTGAGGACCTTCATACTCCCTCTTGCCAGTCACCCAGGGTTTTGCAAAGTGGTGTGGATTTGCATGGCAGTGGCTGTATGGGGGAGCTTGTTGCATGTGTGTGTGTGTGTGTGTGTGTGTGGTGTGTCTGTGATAAACCTCTATTCCCCCCTCCCTTTTCTTCCTGCCCACCCCTTCACACACTGCTCATCCTCAGGCATGTCTAGTTCTCTAGACCTGCCTAACAGGTGTGAAGATGGCAGAGGTAACAGTTTGGTGGTTTCTGCATCTCACCCTAGTAGCAGCCCCTTGAGGAAAGCTCTGGGGCAAGACATGAGTCTGGGAGGATATATGTGTATCTACTCTGCCATCATGTAGGGCTTCCCAGCAATCTTGTTACTGTAACACTCAGGCCTTATAATCCCCTGCTGGCCTTTGTTAATAAACCAGTTGATTCTCGGATAGCAATTTCCTTAAGATTGGCCGGACGTTAACCCCAGTTCTGATATAGGAGTGTGAGTGAGGAGAAGAGTAATAATAACAAACCAACAAAGAAACCCACTCAAGAACAATTATGGCATGACAGGACCTGAATCATCCCCGATGGAAAATTGCTTGAAATTAGCCACAGGAAAAGACCCTGTGCACTGACTGCTTCTTCATGAGGCCGGAGGGAGAAAGTAAGAGCAGAGCTGTGCCCTGAGCGCCTGTTGGCCAGCGCTGTGGCTGCTGAGGTTTGCTGGAGCTAGCTTTCTCTATTCCCTGAGTCCTAAGTATGACAACCAGGAGTCATGAAATAAGATGCCTGGTGGGGAAGGGAGGTCCCTCATCCTGCTAGGATATCTGGAAGTCATGGCCTTCCTTGCCCATGACTGGGCCTGTCATTCTTCAAAGCATCTATTTATCCATCTGCAGTGGGATGGGGAGGGGAAGAGCTTGTGTCTGCACAGAGCTATTCTTTTTCCAGATGCGTTTTTTGCAGCCGTTTTCCATCTGTCGGCACTCACCGGTCCTATGCCACACTCCGCTGAATGTTTCCTGTCATTCAGACTGTCTGCCCTTTATAACCAAAGCTGAATTGGTGAGGTGTAACCACACATTAAAACCCTATCATAAAGGTCTGACTGAACTATAGGTTTGGTGAGTTTTGTTGTCAAATCACATCCGCCACGAGAATCCAGTGATAGGCTTTTATATAATTCTCTTTTTAACTTGGAAAGCTCTGGCCTTGGTAATAATGGAAGAGCAGCTGTATTTTCATGTTTTCTATATTTGAAGGATTGCTTGAGTTTGGCTGGGATGTGAATCTGGCTGAAGTGTGTGTGTGTGTGTGTGTGTGTGTGTGTGTGTGTGTGTGTGTGTGTGTGTGTGTGTGTGTGTGTGTGTGTGTGTGTTTCAGGTTTATAGAATTAAGACTTTTCTTTGGAAGGTTTCTGTGGCTTGGTGCCTCTCTCTGGCAGGGCAACTGTTCATCTCCTTTGACTCATCTCAGCTAGGAGTGGAGGGCTGGGCAGCAGGGCTCTTAGGAGGGTGGTGGGAGGGGAGGAGAGGGAGCTGTCACTGTGAAGTGTCATTTGCTCTGCTTCTGAGAACTTTGCAGAAAGCCCACTGAGTGGCAATCAAACATGGGCTGCATAGTCCAGCTAACAAGTTACTCCTGGTTTGTTCATTCCCTATCATAATTCATAAGCAGATCTCTCCTTCATATTGTGAAATGTATTCCAATTACACCCAAATATTCTTTCTCAATAAACTGGTTTAGCTCTGATCTTTCTGGAAGGTTGGTGATAATGGTAATAGGGATGAAGATGTTGATGATGACACTGGTTTTGATGATACTGTTGTAAGATGGTGATGAGGATGATGATGATATTGATGATAGTTGCTCTGTCCCTAGCACTTTATGTTTCTCACTCCTCATAAATACACCTCTTCATTTAAAAGAGGAGGAAGATGAAGGGAGTTAACTGGCTTACTGAAAGCTGTGTACATCAAAGCAGCAGATTCAGAACTTGAGTTTAGGCTGTCTGAACCCGGATAGCAGCTCTACAAGGCAAAATGGACAATTAGGTGGAACCAGTGGTCAGAGCTTTGTTTTTGTTTGTGTATTTTACTATGGTGTGTGTTTCTCCTCAGAGAATCTTCATTTTATGGATACAGAGATTGAAGTCTGGGCAGGAATAATGCCTTGCGTTAAGTTATATTGCTGAAGAAGTAGAATGAGAGTTAGGGCCATCTTTCCTGACCAGTTTGGGCATTCTGGCTTTACTTTGTATATTACAGATAAAAACTGGGCTGACGTCCGTTTTTGAGTCTCACTGGACTCCTGCTATGCTCAAGCTGTGGCTGGCACATCTGGATAGGGACAGAGTGGCTGATGCAGAGGTTTAAGTTACCACTGGAGAAGTCTAGATGTGAGGAGCCAACCAAGACCTTTGGAGTGGCATCCTGACCATCTGCCCACGGGTTCTTGCTCTCTCTGTACACATGGATGTCTCTCATTGGGGCCATGTTTTGGACTGACACGGGGGCTTCTCCTTCTGTTTGCTTCTTCACTTGCCTCCAAATTAATAACAATCTTGAATTTTTTTCCCTTCTCCCGTTTTCCAGGCCTCTCAAATGATTGTGTCCTACGACGAGCATGATGTGAACAACACATTTAAGTTTGGGGTCATTTATCAAAAAGCAAGGCAGGTAAGCTTGACAAATCCTCCATGACGACTCTTGCCTTCTTACTCGGGACTCTCCTCCTCACACCCCGCCCCCCTCTACCCCGCTACCATCAGCAAAAGCAAAGGCGTTTAAGGCGGGGAAGTGGGGGTTCTTCAACATTCTCCGTGGTCACATTACAAGTATGAGTCGGACTGGAAGCAGCAGAGTCTTCAAGGAATGTTACTCCTGACCAAAAGGCCTGCGATGCTAGTGTAGGTTTTCATACCAGAAGGACCAACTTTCCCTGGCGGTTTCAGCTTCTGTTTGTCCAGGAGCAAGGCAGAAGGAAGGCGTTACATTAGTAGTTTGAAATCAGCCATGGTGGGAGTATTTACACCATGGAAATTGGGAAACATTCCCTCTTTTGAAAATGGGTTATTCCTTGAACACATCACTACCCTCGTACACCTCACATGATTCTTTGGGGTTAATTGGCCCAAATAATCTTTCTCAAACTGTGATTCTGTGAGACCCCCCCCAGGCTGGTGAAGCAGTCTACTGGATGTGTGTCTATTGTATAGAAATGTTTTAAAGGCCCTAAGAATGCCCTAGCTAAAGACCTCTAAAACGTCTTTGAAAGCAGTGTTTTTCCTACACTTATTTGACCACAAACTTCTCATCTTCTCTGCCTGTTTGCTACAATGAATGTTTATTAACATCCCATGCAGGATGGTCAGGTAAATGTACTGATGTCTTCTTGAATAGGTTATGTGACAATCATTCAAGAGCCAGGCATGGCATATATGTTCAGTTATCATGTAAATGAGCAAATGAATGAAAATCTGATATGGTCTGTGGGCTTGTGTGTGTGTATGTGTGTGTGTGTGTGTGTGTGTGTGTGTGTGTGTGACTGGCCAGCCCTCTCTTTCTTGACTAGATGATAGATGATTTCCTTGTCTGAAAATTTTATACCCAGAGACACACGTTTGTTTAAAAACACTAATTACACAATGAGTTTAGGCTCTACAAGACCAGTACTGATGAATCTTATCATTTAAGGGATATTATTCAGGTAGCCACTCTAATTACTTTCACATATTACATTAAAAAATTCATACAGCTTGGCTAATATAACCCCCATAATTAAAATTCTTTGCTTGTGAAATGTACCAAAACAGATCTTCTTAGAAGGTGATTATAATCCAATGTTCCAGCAAAGTTCTAATTACTGAACATTAACCGTCCACCTCTGAGAGGGAGCCTGTGTGTTGTTTGTGTGCCTGATGTTGTGGGAGTGGGTGGGTGGAGTGGCAGGATAGGGGGAGATCTAAGGAGATAAATTTCTTTTTTTGAAAAACCTAGGCAGATTGTTGTCTTGGAAGCCTACAGCTGGGGGACATTTCATAGGAACATTTGTTGCATAAAAGCCCTGTGCTGGTCTTTGGATATAAATAAGCCTCACCTAACTCTGCGGCTTGTCATGTACTGTAATAAGCACTGTGCAGGGCATGGTGATGACTAGGGACTCCCTCCCTAAGGACATGGTCAAGTGCAAAGCCAATGTGAAAAATGACAGCCATGCCAGTAATACCAGGCTGGTCATGAGTCCTGGAAGAGAGGGCATGCCCAGAACTCACACTGGATGGCTTTCTCAGTTATCTGAAGGCATGGAGCACTTCTCCCACACTTGGCCTTATGACCTGGAGTAGGCAGGATCCTGGGGTAGACTTGCAGTGTCTCTGTGGCATGCAGAAGACTAGGGGTTAGTAAACTTTTGCTAGGAAGAGCCCGATAGTCGGTTTTTATTTTTTAGAATTCCTAGGATTTGGGGGTCTCTGTCACAATTGTTTTTGTTTTGTCTTTGTAGTACAAAGACAGCCATAAATAATATGTAAACAAATGGCTGTGACTATGTTTTTTTTTTTTTGTCGGTCGTGGGGCTTGAACTCTGGGCCTGGGCGCTGTCCTTCAGCTCTTCAGCTCAAGGCGAGCACTCTACCACTTGAGCTACAGCGCCACTTCCGGTTTTCTGGTGGTTTATTGGAGATAAGAGTCTCACGGTCTCTCCTGCCCGGGCTGGCTTTGAACTGCGATCCTCAGATCTCAGCCTCCTGAGTAGCTAGGATTACAGGCGTGAGCCACCAGCGCCTGGCTTGTGACTATGTTTTAATAAAACTTTATTTGTAAAAACAGGAAATTGGCCAGACATAGCCCATAGACCATAGTTTGCTGACTGTACCCAATAGGCTTACTGAACCTCTGACCTTCAGAGGTCATATCAGTCATCCAGAGAGCATTGTATCATAGGCCACTGGTATAATTTTTCCTTTAAATTTTTTTTTCTTTGGGCTTGCTAGGCAGGTGTTCTATTGCTTAATCATACTTCCAGCCACATTGCTACAATTTTCAACACATCCATACTATTAACTACTAAATATTTTCTCTGTTAAAATAGATGCACACCTGTAATCTTAGCTACTCAAGAGGATGAAATCTGAGGATTGCAGTTCAAAGCCAACCCTGGCAGAACAATCTGCAAAACTCTTATCTCTAATTAGCTACTGAAAAGCTAGAAGTAAAACTGCCAGCCTTGAGCAGAAAAAGCGAAGGGAGAGCATTCAGGCTGTGAGTTTAAGCCCCAGTATTGGCACCAAAAAAAAAAAAAAAAAAAGGAAGAATTTTAAACTTAAGTTTAAAACTAGCCTAGCTATCCACCAAACCCCTAGTATATTTAGTTAGTTTTTGTTTCCTTGAGACAATCTATGATAGTCCAGAGTAGTCTAAAATTTTCTAAATACCCAGGCTGGTTTTGAGCTTGTGATTCTTCTGCCTCAGCCTCCCACATGCTAGGATTACCGTATACCACCTCAACAAGCTAGTGCATTTGTTTTTGTTTGTTTGTTTGTTGATTTATTTATTTATTGTGGATTCTAGGACTTGAACTCGGGGCATGGGAAAGCAATTTTTGCTCAAGGCTAGCATTCTACCACTTTGAGCCACAGCTCCACTTCCAGTTTTCTGGTAGTTAATTGGAGATAAGAGTCTCACAGGTTTTCTATCTGGGCTAGCTTCAAACTTTGATCCTCAGATCTTAGCCCCTTGAGTAGTTGGGATTACAGGCTTGAGCCACTGTCACTCAGCTAATTTATTTATTTATTTACTTACTTACTTAGTTGTGCATTTGTTTTGAAAGGAAATTCTAGATCAGTATTCTAACTGGCAAATCAGTGTCACTTGCTACAAAGTGAAGTAATTCTAAAAAGAAATACTAAAAACAAAGCGATTGCCATCCACCAGGTTGGGCTGTGTGTTGTAAGTTTGGAATCTGAGGTCCACTTTTATTCATTATAAAGCAGGAGCAAGTCAGGTAGAGCACCTGTTTAGAGTGAATGAGGCCCTAGATTCCATTCCTGGTGTGACCCAGAAGAGTAGCAGGAGTTAAGGGCGTGTGAAGGAGCCTCCTGGTGGAGACTTCATCTGTGAAGCAATGGGGCAAACTGCAGCATTTTGGTGTGCAGCCATTCCTTTGCAGTCTATGGATGTTTGCAGATCCTCCTGCAGTTTGCAGATCTTCCACTATGGAGAAAGCTTGTCTCTCAGATGGACCTAGTTTGGTGTTTTAAGTCTGTTAGTGTTTGCTGCTGTGCTCAGCCTTGCCACTTAACTGTTAAACTCTTTAGTTTCAGGTATTGGTAGACTCACATATAGTTGTAAAATTATACAGGGAGATGTCATGGATGTTTCACCAGGAAGTTATGTCTTCTAAGAGCACAAGATCATAGGCAGGAGATGGAAATGTCAACCCGTAGAGCTTACCCAGGTTTTGTTAGTAAACATGGGTGCATTTATGGGTGTGTTCTATGTGTATATCCTTCTGTGTCACTTTATCCCTGTGTGGGTTTCATAATCAGAAACAGAAGACGTCTAAGACTACAGATAGGGGTCCCTTGAGTTTTCCTCTCATAATCAAGCCCATAATCCTCCTCAGTCTGCTGTCCTTTCCCCTGGCAGCCATGAACAATAAGACTTTATTTCTACATATTATAGAAATGTAAGCATGAAGCATACACCTTTCAGGATTGTTTTTTCCTTGCTGAGCAGATTCATCTATATTCTCAAGTGGGTCACTCATTTGTTGTTGTTTGTTATTGTTGAATAGTATCCCATGGTATACCCATGACACAGTTTACTCATTCATTCATGGACATCTGGGTTGTTTCCAGCTCTGGGCTATCATGAACAGAACTACAATGAACATTGACACACAGGCTTTGGTTTTACTTGAGCCTGTGTTTTCACTGCTCTGGGATTCAGGCCTAGAGTCCAACAGCTAGTTGTTTGGCAATTCTATGTCTAGTTTTGTAAGAAACTGCCAAACTCTTCTTAAGTGGTTTTTCCCCCACCTCTTGTCCATGTAAGTGTTTCTCTACATTCTGTCAGATGTGGTTTGTCACTCTCTGTGTGTGTGTGTGTGTGTGTGTGTGTGTGTGTGTGTATGTGTATGCTAGGACTGGGGCTCAAATTCAGGGCATGTGTACTGTCCCTGAGCTTTTTTGCTCAAGGCTAGCGTTCTACCACATCACCCACAGCTCCATGTTTGACTTTTTCCAAGTTTATTGGAGATAAGAGTCTCATGCACTTTCTTGCCTAAGCTGACTTCAAACTGCAAACCTCAGATCTCAGCTTCTTGAGCAGCTAGGATTACAGGCAGGAGCCACAAGTGCCCAACTATCATTATTCTTTGTTATTCTTTGTCTTTAGTCATTCTTATGCACGTGTGGTGATGTCTTATTATGGGTTTAATTTGCATTTCTCTAATGATTAGTGATGTTGAACATCTTTGCGGGTGTATATCCTCTATTGGCTATTTTCTAATTAAAATAGTCGATTGACTATTTTCTAATTAAAATTACTTCTTACTGTTCAGTTAATTTTTAAGTAACTTTATTGACATAATTCTCATGTCATACAATTCACAGTAGTCTGTGAGCTATATCTTTATAAGGTGGGTTTTTATTGTCATCACACAATGATTCATTAACTATCTAGTCCCAGAACATTTCATCCTTCTCCAAAGGAGCCTCATACTGTGCAGCAGAAGTGGAGCCTGCGTGCATTCCCTCAGCTTCTGACATCCATGCACCCACTTCCTGTCTCAGTGGAAGCAAAGGCTATGCCACACTCCTTTGGTGTCAGCTTTTCACTTATCAGGTAGTTTTCATCAATGTCATAGCATGTGTCAGCACCATTTTATGCTCAAATAATACTACATTGTATGTCTGTACCACCCATTCATCAGTACTACCATTCATCAGTTGCTGGAGATTTGAGTTGTTTCTACTTGTAGGTGGTTTTGCTTAGTGTTTTTACCCATAGCCATATACAATTTTTTTTTGTATAGCTGCATGTTTTCCTTTCTCGTGGGTGTGTGTATATCTGGGAGTGGAATTACTGGGTCATATGGCAACTCTACATTTGGTGTTTTGAGGATCTGCTAGCCTGTTTTCCAAAGGAACTGTACCACTTTCCATCCCTATGAGCAATGTGTGAAGGTTGTGATTTCTGATCATCACCCACACTTTCAATTACATTTCTTTTTTATTTTACTCCTTATAGTGGGTATTGAGTGGAATCTCATTGTGTTTTTGCTTACTGTAGAGCTTTGAGATTGCTTCATGTATTCTTGATCCTAATTCTTTGTTGGAAGCCCAATTCAATCAATTTTCATTTATGCGTCATGTTTTTGGTATTAAGTCAAATACTTACGTGTGTATCTTTGCTCAAGTAGAAAGGTCTCATTACCAGGCTCCATAGCTCATACCTGTAACCCCAGCACCTGGGAAGTCAGAGACTGTGAGGATCTTCAGTTGAATCCAACTGTGGCAAAAGTTAGTGAGACTCTATCTGAACCAATAGCTAGGTTGGGTGATGTGGTCCTGTAATCCCAGCTGTGCCAGAAGCATTAATAGGATAATCATGGTTCCAGCTGGTCTAGGCAAAAACTCAAGAAGCTATTTAGAAAAATAACTACAGGGCTGGGACATGGCGTAAATGGTAGAGCACCTGCATAGGAAGTACAATGCCCTGAGTTCAAACCCTACCACTACACACTTGTTTTCTTTTTCCTTTTCTATTAAATAAGAAAAAGGAAAAAAAGGTCTTATCAGCTAGGTCCAAGGCTCCAGCATGGATGAGTGATCCTTTATTAATCTTTCTTCTGATTGAGGACAGATATGGGGAAATGTATTGGGAGATAGGGAAGAAGAAAACAAGTGGCCAGAGATTTAGAAAATTCTATTTCTTCACTTGCACCAAGAAGGTTTATTATCTAGTAGTACTAGGATTTGAACTCAGGGCCTTGTACTTGCTTGACAGGTGTTCTCCTGCTTAGCCAATCCCCAAAAGGCCTTTTCTAACTTTCTCCTATTTCTCTTTTAGACCCTGGAGGAGGAGCTGTTTGGAAACAATGAGGAGAGCCCAGCTTTCAAGGAGTTCTTGGACCTGCTGGGGGACACCATCACACTGCAGGACTTTAAAGGGTGAGTCTCAGCCAAAGAGGATGCAGCCCTTTAGTCCTGGAGGAGGTGTGGGGGTGGGGGTGGGGACAGGAAGGGAGGACATCTCTGTCCTCAAGGGAGCAGGTGAGGGTTAAACACACACCAGGATTGCAGGGCTGCTATTCAGCTTCGGATCCACACTGTCTGGCATTCCTGAAGAGCCAGCAGAGGTGGGGAGGATCCAGCATGGCAGGATGTCTGATTGCATTGATGCTTGGCCCTTAGATGTGGGATGGGATTGCTGCTGCAAAGTTACTGCTTGCCTTCCCTCCCTCCCTCCCTTCCTTCCTTCCTTTTGTGCCAGTGCTGGGGCTTGAACTTAGGGCCTGGGCACTGTCTCTTAGTTTTTCACCCAAGGTTGATGCTCTACCACAGCTCCACTTTTTATTTCATTTTCTCTGAGGAACCTGCAGCAGCTTTCCCTTCCCCCTTGCCACAGCCTGTGGTCCCAGGCTGGCAGCCATGTTTCTATGAAGGCAGAAGCTCAGCTCCTGGAAGGCCACAGCTTCTTCCTGCTTATCTTTCCTGCCTGTAAGGTGTTAGCTGGAGAGGGCAGCTTCCTGGGTGCCCTTGTGACTTCCTATCAGGAACTAGCTGGGGAGAAGTTGAACATCTGGATATCAGCTCACCATCATCTGTGTTTGTCCCTGGCTCTGGTCTAGTGATGATTTGGATTTTGGATATGGTGTTTCAAGAAGCAAAGGCTTGTGCCCAGCCTTGGGGGCTGCCTGACAGCTCTGCTGGGCATTTGGCTGGCACTGTGATAAGCCAAGGCTTGAAGCCTTTATCTTGATATTACAGGCCTCTGGTTAGGGTCAGTACTTTGTGCATCAGAAGAACACTTCTCCCTGCCGTCCTGCCCCCTGTGATCCTCTGCCCTCCACGCTCGGCTGTCATTGCACTCATTGCCTGCCATACGTGCTCAGGGCAGGTGGCACTGTGTTGCCACTCGATCTCACTTTCTCCTTCCCTGTCTGGTTTTATTGGCAGTTTCCGAGGAGGCCTGGATGTGACCCATGGACAGACAGGGATGGAGTCAGTGTACACGACCTTCCGGGAACGGGAGATCATGTTTCATGTGTCCACAAAGCTGCCATTCACTGAGGGAGATGCCCAACAGGTACCTGGTTGAGGGAGGTATTGGGATCTGACCAATGGGAAATGGCAGCCAGCCTGGGGTGAGCTGTTGAAAGTCTCTCTGGAGGCCGGGTATAGATCTCAGTGGCAGAGTGCTTGCTCTATATGCAGGAGGCTCTGGGTTCCAGCTCCAGCATCGGGAGAAAGGAAGACCTCTTTGAAGTTTCCCAGGCAATGTGGAGTCTGGGAGCAGAGCATACAGTACAAGTGGTGGTGAGGGGTGTGTAGTGGAGATGTCTCAGGACTGTTGTGAGTTCACATGTTCTTGCCCGACATGTGGCTGCTTCCTATGTACCAGCTGTTCCCAGGCCAGGACACTAGGCTTCTGGCCTCTTTCTTGTCCCGGCAACATGAGGCTGTGATTGAATGAGGACCCCTTCCCCGACATCCCTGCTCATCTGCAATCCCAGCCTCATAGCTGCCAGAGCATGGGGACTCTGGATGAAACCTGCATCCCTGGCATTCACCTGCTCCCCTCCCATAAGTGCTGTTCTAGGCACTTAGTGGCTCATCCCTGTAATCCTAGCTACTCAGGAGGCTAAGATCTGAGGACTGAGGTTTGAAGCCAGCTGGGGCAGACAAATCCAAGAGACTCTTCAATTAACTGGCAAAAAGCTGTGGAGCTGTGACTCAGGTGGTAGAGTGCACCAGCCTTGAGTGAGAAAGTTAAGGGAGAGCTTGAGGCCATGAGTTCAAGCTCCCGTACAGGGCTTATAAAACAAAACAACAATAACAACTCTCTTCCCCACCCCCATATACTATTGCGACAGCCACACATCCTCAGGGAATTCTCTGACTCTTCTGAAAGGAGCCGCCAGCCCTGGAAGCCTACCCAGCCACTGGTCACCCTATCCCACTCTTTGCCCCTTGGCTATCTCTGGGAAAACAAGAGGGGCAGATGGGCCTTTGTCCAAACTCAGACCAGTTTGTTTCTGAGCAGGGAGCCGGGGAGGGAGCAGAGATGTAAAATGGTAAGCATCATGCCTGGCTCCTTAGGAAAAAGGAAATTGGCAAATGAAATTAGCATTTGGCGTTCAAGTAACGACAGAATGTTCCAGAAAACAAATGGATGCAGGATTCCTTTTGTAGCCAGATTGAGTTTTCTCTTCGGTCTCACCTTTGGTCTCCGTTCTCTCACTGAGGCTCAGTGTGGGTTACTTGGGGCTGTGTACCTTGGCCTGGCACTCTTGGCAGGGGCTGAATAGAGACTCATTTTCTCTTCCTAAGACACAGCAAGACAACTGAAGGAAAGCGCCCAGCCTGGTGCTCGGTATACAGCAAGTGATCAGTAAATGCAAAAGGATTGAGCATAGGGCCTGTGGGCAGTAGATGCTTCATAAAAGCCCCTCCCCTCCCCTGGCTCATCCAGATTTTCATTAAGACCCCACCCTACCTCCTCCTCTTCTGGGAAACCCTCTCAGGTTGCTATCAAGCCCTCTCACTTCACGCTCTTCCATCCTGGGTGCTGCCAGGCACCTTGTGGGCAGCTGCTGACTTAGCACAGGCAGGCGGCCTCGGTAGTGTTCTCAGATGGCTTCTCCTGTATTTGAGTTTCTCCCAGATCAGTTACAGGCTCTCCCAGGGCAAGACCCGGCCTCACCTTTGCAAGATTCTCCCTAGGGTTTTGATTCGGGGCTCTGCATGCTCTTGAGCTCAGTAACATGCTCTCTGGTAATTAACAACCGGAGTCTCTTCCTCGGCTTCTTTTTCTTCCTCTTGATGTCTTCTGAGGACCGGAAGAAGCCCTTCCCTGGAGAGCTACTGAGCTCAGGGCTTATGTAATCATACAATGAGGACTTTCCCATCCAGCTCTTGTCTGCTCTCAGGATGTATCTAAGTGGCTTTGTAACAAGGAGACACTTCTTGTTTAGCTCCAGAGGAAGAGGCATATTGGGAATGACATTGTGGCCATCATCTTCCAAGAAGAAAACACGCCATTTGTCCCTGATATGATTGCCTCCAACTTCCTACATGCCTACATTGTTGTGCAGGCTGAGAGCCTAGGCACAGAGAGCCCATCCTACAAGGTAAGGACATAGCCTATTGGAGGAAGTTGTGGGTCCACTTGCCAGAACACTAGTGCTTGTCCATGTGGGAGTTGCTATGGTTACGAGGTTTCTGGAACCTGGAGCAGGGCTCTAGGTGGAAGGCACCTTCTAAGGTCTCTTCATATACCTTGCTGCCTTCAGGCTAAAGTGCATCTAACCCAAGGATCCAGATGCTCCGAGGTCTGTGTTTGAAGGCTGGTGATACACATGTGCTAGATGATGGTGGAGTAGGAGGGGGAGAAGTGGAAAGGATGAGCAGGAGAGGAAAAGGGAGGTGGAAGAGAGGGAAGAAGGGAGAACTACCAACCTGCAGGAAGTGGGAGACACTGAAACCTGGAAATGCATGCCCCATTCTGACTTGGGCTGTGCTGGTTCCAGGGTCCTTACCACACTACAGCAATTCATGGCCATCTTCATAATGGGTGGAGTTATTTTACTCTGGCATCAGCACAAACCCATATGTATTAAATGCAAAATTCATATCACTTTGTGTGTGTGTGTGTGTGTGTGTATGTGTGTGTGTGTGTGTGTGTGTGTGTGTACTAGTACTGGGGCTTGAACTCAGGGCCTGGGCACTGTCTTTCAGCTTTTTCCGCTCAAAGCTAATACTCTACCACTTGAGCCACATCTCCACACCTGTTTTTTCTTTCAGGTTAACGAGAGATAAGAGTCTCACAGGCTTTCCTGTCTGGGCTCAGATCTTAGCCTTCTGAGTAGCTAGGATTATAGGACATGAACCATGGGCGCCCATCTTCATACCAGCTTTTAAAATGAAATTCCAGATTAAAAAGTATAAAGCAAAAACCCCCCACAAAACAACAACCACAAACCACACCCACAACACAAATGGAATCTCTCCTGTGAGGTCAGCTGATGCCATTCCACACACACATTTGTGTTCTTCTGGCCTTGAGCACTTTCAGGGATCACCAGCTTTGGATGAATTAACCAGCTGATGGGTGAATGTGTTGGTGGAAGCAAGTTCCCTGACTCAGTACCAGGCTACCTGCTGGGGAGGGGACCGAGGAAGGGAGACCGGGGAGCTGCCTGCTGGGCCTTGCTCACCTAGGAAAGATGAGGCACTGGGGAGCCATGCACATAGTTCAGTCACCGGGTGGCTCAAAAAGCCAACTGGTTCTGTTTTCTTTTTCTTTCTCCTTAATGCAATCTCTCTGTAACCCCCGGAAGGCCTTGAACTCAAGAGCCTTCTGCCTCATCCTCCTAGGTGCTGGGACTGTAGGTGTGCATTACCGTGCCCAGCCAACTGGTTCTTTTAATTACCCATAGAGGTAGAAGAGCAAAAGAGAAACTTCCCCGAAGTAAAACTAGGTGAAAGCATGGTTCTCAGATCCATACCCTGCTTGGCAGCCTGGGGCTCATGTCCTGGCCCTGCTTCTGGATGCTGTGTGATCTTATGCCAGCGCATTCCCTCTCTAGGCCTCTGTGTCTGTCTGTGTGAAATGAGGAAGTTGTATTGCATGACCTATGGGCTCTGTCCAGCCCTGGCACCCTGTGCGAGAGCATGGAGTCAGGGGGTGTGTGTGGTGGCTGCCGAAGTGTTTTGAGGGAGCTCTGTATTTCAGGTTCTTTTTTTCTAGACGCAGGTCAACCAAGAAAGCTAAAAAATAAAAATAAATAAAAACTGTAGCCACACAACTACAGCAGATAATGACTTCTATCCCTTTCCAGGGTAAGGTGCCAGGCCTTGTGTTTAGAAAGGTGTTATTTTCTTCTTTTCTTTTTCCTTTGTTATCAATAATGGGGCTTGAACTTGAGGGCCTGGGCGCTGTTCCTTAGCTTTTTTGCTCAAGGCTGGTGCTCTACCACTTGAGCTACCGTTCTACTTCTGACTTTTTGGTGGTTAGTTGGAGATAAGAGTCTCACAGACTTTCCTGTCAGGGTTAGCTTCAAACCACAATCTTCAGAACTCAGCCTCCTGAGTAGCTAGGATAATAGGCCTGAGCTGCTGATGTCTGGCTATAAGTCCTCTTCTAAAATTCTTCTAGAATGAGCCTGATGGTATAGGGAAAAGGCTGAGTTTGATGACTTGGGTCAGGGGTTAGAGCTGAGGCCACAGAACCAGAGAGCTGGAATTCCTGCCCAGGAGTCATTGGAACAGGAAGGAAACTGACACTATAAACACTGATATATTTTTTTCAGGTAGGAATTTAGTTTCTTCTCCTCAGATCAGTATGACGTTGGAGCTCAGCCACTATTAGCACACCTCTTGTCCCCACTCCTGAGGTCCCCCTGAGATGTCAGCCATCTCTGATGGAGCAGATCTCTGGGGGAAGGCCTCCCTCTCCTCAACATAGCTGTCCATGGTCCTCACAGGCTCAGGCCTACGTGGGCTTGAGGACTAGGACAGGCTTCTGGCCCTCACACTGTCCCTTCCCGCAGCATCCCGTGTCCCCCATGCTTCTCAGGGTCTCTACTGGCACCATCGCCCCCAATGAGCTCGCTGGATTTAGAAGCAGGAAGGTGGATTGGTGCCCAGGGAACTTCTGCTTTCAGAAGTTAACCCAAACCGATGTCTGGAGAGGAGGAAGCAATGAGGCTGCCTCATGGGGATGGGGTCAGAGGAAGGACCCTGTCCCTGTCCCGTGTTCCTGTGGGGAGACTTGGTGTATCTGAAACCATTCACCCTGTCAGCCAAGACCACAGGAGGAGAAAAGGGATAGGGAGGGGGGGCACAGCTGGGCCTGCCCCCTGTCTTTTGTCCCAGGCCCCAGATGCCAGCATTGGGTACCCTCTCAGTAGCCTTCTTCCTTCCTCTCCCCACCCCAAGTTTTGGCTATGTGTGTGTGTGCATGCGTGCACACATGCGTGTATGCGTGACATTACTTGACTTGGGCTACTAGCGTGTGGTGGGGGGATGGGAGGGGGCATGGGGAATGGTGCTGAGCAGCCACAGCTCAGCCAGCGATCGCAGCAATGAGCGCACCATCTCCTGACCCTGGCCATGGCAATTTGGGCTGTGTAGACAGTTCTGAGCATGGGGAAAGAAAGCCTGCATTGACCAGCTCCCCTGCTTCCTTCTCTCTGCCCTTGGCAGGGCCTTGCCTTGGCTGGGCCCCAGGCTGCCTGCTCTCCCGGTCTGGCAGGCTCTCGCGTCTGCTCTACTTCACAGGCCAGGGAGACTGGCAGCATGCCAGGCACCCACGTCAGCGGCTGCCCAGGGAAGGGACAGGACAGCCTCCTGGGAGCTCTGCAGCCTAGTGGACTATGCAGTTGAAATGAGGGCACCTCTGTATAGACAGGAGGTGAGGACCAGGGCCTGCCCCAAGCCTAAGTAACCCCCAGATTGAGTACTTGGATGCCCTCAGTTATAGGTCAGACCTCTCAACCTGGCCAAGATGCCTTCCACCCTCAATTCCATGCCAGGGCCCTGAAGCTGTGTTAGCTCAAGTCTAACCTAGACTGGCCAAGCCTATGTATAGGACCAGAGCTGGTTCACTGGTAGTGCCAAAGCTCTCAGGAAATACAGCCAGCCTTTCCTTTCAGAAGGGAGGCTGATGTATGGTCAGCTTGTAAGAAACCCAGAGATGGACTGGAAAGGTCTGTTTTCTGTCTTCCTCTCTGTGTGACTCTGTGTCCCCAGGCATGTCTACTCATCTGTAAAATGGGTATTTCTCCTTGGGCCATCTCTGTAGGATTAACATCAAAATGGTAACACAGCAGTGCCGGCACTGTGTCATAATCAGGGTCCCACTGCTCTTCCACCCCTTCCGGTCATCTTGCCAAACTTGCTTCTCTTCCCCCTAGGAAGGCGAAGGAGAGGATGTGACGGCTCCACACCATGCAGCCCCGCTAGTGGGACAGTAGCTGGGCGCCTAGGTTGGCAGTGGCCATGGGGACATTGATCTGTGCTCCGAGGCTTGGAGGGAGGAGAAGGTGAATTGAAGGGTTGTAAGAAGCGTGGCTTTGGAGAAGCTCCCATCACGTACACGTGACTTCTGCTTCCAGGTCTCCGTCACTGCTCGGGAAGACGTACCTGCTTTCGGCCCTCCGCTGCCCAGCCCCCCTGTTTTCCAGAAGGTCAGCAACTCCTTTCTTCTCATAGGCATACCGAAGTGGGATGGAATGTGGGAGAATTTGGGTCAGGGACATCAGGGAGATCCCTCTGCAGGTCTAGGGAGGAGAAGGGGGTAATTTCTTTACTGGCCGTCTGTCTGGCCTCACAGAGGGCCATTTGTTGGGGTGTTTGATGCTGGAGCTACCAGTCTTTTAGAGGAAGGGTTTTGTTTTACCATATTCAGATCCCAGCAGCCATGGGCAAGGATTGCCTCTAGTTAAAGGCAATGCCACGTGGTGCGTGGGCTCCTTAGTACTGGAGAAGCTGTTTTCCATATAGATGGGGCTTTCCTTGGCTAGAAATGATCTGATGTTAAAAGTGGCCTATCAGGTTCTGTCCTCAGACCGCTGGTCCTGCCTGCCTGTTACTGTCTGTGGCTGAAACTTTCTCAGCAGTGGCTGGGGATGGGCCAATTCTGAGCCATCTTGTCTGTCCCAGGGCCCGGAGTTCCGGGAGTTTCTACTTACCAAACTCACCAATGCAGAGAATGCCTGCTGCAAGTCGGACAAGTTTGCTAAGCTGGAGGTAAGAGCGTAGGTCTGAAGTCTTCGTCTCAGCCTGCTGTTGATCAGCTTTCCTGAGTGTGTGTGTGTGTGTGTGTGTGTGTGTGTGTGTGTGTAGGGCTGTGGGTTGCATTGTGGGGACCTATTAAGTTGGGGAGCAACTCCCCCTCAAAAAAAACCTTCCTACCTTTCTGCTCTGTGTCATTTGTGGGAAATCTAGATTCCAAGTCTAGTGAACCTATTGTGGATGGATTGAGCACCTACTATATTACCTGGAAACACAGGGGTAAATGAGACATTGTTTCTGTCCTTCTAGGCTCCCTGGATGGTGGGAGGAGCCATTGTGATCTGGTGTGCCAGCTCTGGGTTATGATGGAGTCAGGGTTGCTCAGAGGATAGAGACTGCTTTTTGGGGGGGTGGGGGGAGGGGGTAGACACTAGAGGTATGTTCAGGGAAGGCTTCTTGGAAGCGGTGGCTCTTGACCTTCTGAATCCTGATGTCTGATGGAGATTTGGGCAGGGGGAAACAGTGGGCAGGTTATTGCAGGCACACCATAGCATGAGTAGTGGCCAGCCAGAACCACAGAGGGTGACTCCGATGAGAGATCTCCGGCGGTCTGGGGTGCTGACGGCAGCTTCTCAGAGCTAGAATGGTGAGGCTCTATTGCAGATGAGAAGGGCTGTGGGGCTGGCCACCAGTGGCTCATGCCGGTAACCTAACTACTCAGGAGGATCTGAGGATCATGGTTCGAAACCAACCTGGGGCAGGAATACTGGTCGGACTCTTATATCTAACCTGGAAAAACTGAAACCAGAGGTGTGGCTTGAGTGGAGGAGTGCCAGTCTTGAGCGGAAAAAAACTAATGGACAGCATTCAGACCCTGAGTACAAAGCCCCAGGACCAACACAAACAAACAAGTAACAGCAACCACAAAAGATAAAAAGTGGTGAGGGGCCTTGTGAAGTTGCTAGGCAGGAGAGCGACATGTTTGACTTTCTTGATAAAAGGGATCACTGGCCAGTGGTCAGGACAGGTTGTGGGGTTGGGGGGGGGAGGACAGGAAGGATGGCCAGTTCAACACGATTCATCGGAGACCAGGAGAGATCTTGAAGGCGGACACCTCACTGGAGGGAATAACTTAGGGCCTGGGCTGAGACCTGACGGACTCCTGCAAGTAGGAGTAGAGGGAAGTAGAATTTGGGGAGAGGGGGCTGCTCCTAGGCCTGGGCTTGAGCTCTGGGGCCAGCTAGTAGGACTTGCTGTTCTGGGTGCCTGCCAAGGCCGGTCGCTCATCCTGTCTGTGGGAATGGTGCCCCCTGGAGGCTGTGTGCATACATGCCTGATGATTGGAGAGGAGCCTCTGCCAAAGTGTAGCCAGATGTGGAAGTCGGTGATGGTCTGGGGGAGGATGTCACCAGGGCAGAGCCTTAGGGAGGAGGGAGGGGCTGAGGAAGAAGGGGCAGAAGAGCATCTGTGTTAATGGAAGCACTGGTATGTGTGAAGCCCAGACTGGCTGTAAGTACACACTGTAGCAGACCAGTAGCCTCTGGCTCAGGTGTCGAGAACTGTAAGGAGGGGGCTCGTTGTCAGCACCTGTGCCCTCGTCTCTTCTAGGACCGGACCAGAGCTGCGCTCCTGGACAACCTCCACGATGAGCTCCATGCACACACACAGGCCATGCTGGGACTGGGCCCAGAGGAGGACAAGTTTGAGAATGGGGGCCACGGGGGATTCCTGGAGTCTTTTAAGGTATGATACCGGGGTAACTGAGGATTGCTGTGGCAGGAAGTCTTCTACTCCCTGAGGCTCCAGGCCCAGAGCCCAAGGCTAGCTCAATGCGGTGATAGGACAGTTGGAGGGGGGAGGGGAGGTCTCAGGTGTTTGCAAGCTGGCAGAGATGTCAGCAATGTGAAAGATCAGAGTAGCCAACACTGTGTCCAGCCTTCCCCCACATCCTTCCGTGACCCGCAGCCTCGTTTCCTGGCCCAGAAGTCTGATAAACAGGGACAGGTAGAATTAGTAGTGGGGAAGAGCCAGTGTGAATCAAGCATGGTATTGTTCTCCTGTGACAGAGTGTTTGTTTAGCAAGCAGGAGGCCCTGAGTTCAAACCTGCGTATTGCCAAGCGAAACAAAACAAAACAAAACAAAAAACAATTGTATAGCTTTTACTGTCTGTGTTTGGGGGGCGGGGAGCTCAGTGCAGGATGACAGAAGCAAGGGCACAGGCTGAAGGGGCTTTAGCAGCTGTTGTGGGGGTGCTGTGATGATTGCTTCTGGCAGTGGGGTGGTGGCAAGGACAAATCCATCTGGGCATTGCAAAGGAAAGACTTCTTTAATCAGAACGAGCTGCTAAAGGAAGTAATGAGATCCCTGACCCTGGAAGTATTCAAGTGGACCTGGACAGCCATGGAACTGATGTGGGGCACACAAGGACAGGGCACACAAGGCTTAGTGCTTGTTGGTCCACATAGGACTTCTGTCCAGCATGTGTTTCAGCTTGGCTGTAATTAACCCTTTGTGGTGGGCTGCATGGTTTTTTTCTTGTGTTTCCACTAACACACATAAAGACAGGCTGGCTGAGAGAGGCCACAGGACCATTGAAGTCCTTAGACCTTGGAGGTAGTGTCTATTTTAAACCCACGCTCTCTGGTTGTTCACTCAAAGTTCTGCTGGATTGAAGATCCCCTTTGGAGACAGTATGTGTAGGATTAGGGTTGGATATGCCTGCTTTTAAATCCCAGCTCTATATGGTGCTGGGGAAGGTCTTGAGAGTCTTCAAGCTTCAGAGCTCTTGTTATATAGAGTTGTTAATAAGTCATGGATGAGGAAGTGGACCTCTACCACTAAGAGAGGGTGTGTGTGTGTGTGTGTGTGTGTGTGTGTGTGTGTGTGTGTGTGTACTGGATTTTGAACTCAAGGCCTCATACTCTCATTTTTTTTTTTATTCAAGGCTGGTGTTATACCCCTTGAGCCACATATTCACTTCTGTTTTTTTTTGGCTGACTAACTAGAGATAAGAGTCTCAGATTTGTCAACTAGAGATAAGAGTCCCTTACATTTGTCTGCCTAGACTGGCTAGGACTACAGGCATGAAATACCAAAGCATCAAGTTGCTTTTGAAATAATGCCTGGAAGTGCCCATTGCATTCAACACAGTAACAGGGTTTCATAGGCTGTGTTATACTCCCTCTTAAACCTCCGACTGCCCTTAGTGCCCTAATAGAGAACACTATTCTTATGGGTATAATAATTTTGATATAATAATAATTCAGGCTCAATTTTAATAGATAGGTTTACATGTGAGGAAATGAAGACTCACAAAGACTAGATAATTTGCTCCAAATTGTCCTGAAGGTGGAGTTGAATTCCAGTCTCCTGGACTCTAAAACTCGTGCTTTTCACAGCTGCCTAATACTCCTTTCTAGCATCTGACTTGGTGACAACCCCATGCATGCTGGGATCCTGGGCCTGGGTAGGCTGGGGGCCATCCTTCACTGTCTGGCTGTATCACCAAGAGCAAGGCATGGCTCTGCTGGCCCTGGCCGAAGCCAGCTGCCAAGATTCCTCATAAGGAGGGGCAGAGCCGGGCTGCGTGTCTAGGCTGGTGGGAGATTCCTGGCATATTAATTTTAATCCTGATGGATGGTGACAGCTAAGGCGAAGAAGGATAAATTGGGGAATCAAGCTGCAAGAGAGATGAGGGAGAAAATAAGCTGAGGAGGAAGGGGGAGCCAGGTCGCATAGCCCAGTTGAGAGAGGGGTAAATGTGAGGCTGGATAGTAGGAAAATAGACTGGGGACTGGCAGATCAGCAGGGCCACTTACAGGCCTGTAGTAAATGTGCTTTATGCAGAATGATCAGAGTTGACTAGTTAATGCTGTAGTGTACATACATGTGTGTATGTATGAGTATGTGTGCATGTGTGCTCATGCGCCACACTGAGGCTTGATCTTGGGGCATGGGTGCTGTCCCTTAGCTTTTTTTTTGCTCAAAGCTGGCACTCTAATCACTTCTGACTTTTTGGTGGTCAATTGGAGATAAGAGTGTCATAGACTTTCCTGCCAAGGCTGGCTTCAAGCCTCAATCCTCAGATCTCAGCATCCTGAGTAGCTAGAATTACAGGTGTGAGTTACCAGAGCCTGGGTAATGCTCTACTTTTCAGATATTTAATGAAGCATTAGTCACTTTGAGTTTCCCAGGGTTTTTTTTTTTAAAAATTGTATTTTAGCATTAACAGTGGCGATTTCAAGTTTCAGATTTTTGTTGTTGTTGTTGTGGGGCTTGGGCGCTGTCCCTGAGCTCTTTGGCTCAAAGTGAGCACTCTACCACTTGAGGCACAGAGCCACTTCCTGTTTTCTGGTGGTTAATTGGAGATAAAAGTCTCACGGACTTTCCTGCCCTGACTGGCTTTGAACCATAATCCTCAGATCTCAGCCTCCTAAGTAGCTAGGACTACAGGCGTGAGCCCTCAGTGCCCAGCTTCAAGTTTCAGATATTTTTTATAACCTAGACCATCTTAGGCCCATGCTGTCCAATAAATGAGATGGTGTACCCACTTGATGCAAGTCTCCTGCGGCTCAATGTTCTGCCTCTGTTAGGAGTGGCCTTGATTCCAGGGCACCTGACACATTCCCAGAGGGGTTTCTAAGAGAGTGATGCTTCAAGATTTTACTATGACTTGTGTTTGAGCCCAGCTGCCAGAGGGTTCTTCTCACCTTTAAATCTTTGAAAGTTTGGCCTAAGACAGACAGACCTGCTCCTCCATTCAGCCCTCATGCTTGTCTCCATGGTCATACTGTGGGGAGGAATTGTCACAGTTGGGCATACCAATGGAGCCTTCAGAGTCTTGGTGGCTATGACCAGCTCATTTCTCTCCTCCCAGCTGGGGGCTCATGGATGCTCTTCCTTTTGCCCTTGTCTTGTTGCTCTCACAGGTGGGGTAAGGGGTAGGAGGGTCAGGTGAGTGGAGGGGGGATGGTATAGGCCTGACTGGCTCAGCTCATGACTTTGTTCCTAGGGTTTTTTGTTTTTGTTTTGGTGTGTCTGTCGTGGGCTTGAACTTGGCCTGGGCACTGTCCCTGAGCTTTTTTACTCATGACTAGTGCTCTAACCACTTTGAGACACAGCACCACTTCCGATTTTTTGGGTGGTTAATCAGAGATAAGAGTCTCAGAGACTTTCCTACCTGGGTTGGCTTTGAACCATGATCCTCAGGATCTCAGCCTCCTGAGAAGCTAGGATTGCAGGTATGAGCCACGGTCACCTGGCCATAGTTTTGGTTTTTCTTAGGCAGGACTATAGTATTAGAATGATGGGTGTTGTTCATGGAATATACCCAGGAACAAAATTTGGATGTTGAATCCCCTCCCTAGAAAAGTTCCTGTCTCACATGGAGGCAGAAACCCCAATAGAATGCTCAGGGCTGAAGGGACAGTACCATCTGTCCCCTAACCTCCCCAGGGACTGGTCCTTCTCCCCCCTGGTGGGCCAGGATGCTTTGTACTCTGGGGAATAGCCTTGCCGTAGCTCTTGGCTCTGCTGCCCTGGGCTTTGTATCCTGTGGAGCAGTCTGTCACATCTTGAGGCAGTTCCCCGGGCTGTGATTGAAGCTCTATGCCATACAGACCAGTTCCTGTCCTGTGGGACAGCTCGACCTGTTTTTCAAATCAAGCTGTTTGAAGAGATTCTTGGGACTCTGTTTCTCCTACCAATGCTTTTAAAGTTTGCATTTTCACTTAGATAAAAATCTCTTTTCTTTCCAATGATTAAAAACGGCTCTTACAGTGATGTTGCACAATTCAAAGCTGTTTGTGAGGCATAAGAGGTGGGTTGTGATGTCAGCAGTGTAGATGCAGCTATGGGGGCCTGTGGACATATTCCTGGGACTCATAGAGGAATGTTTTCATCATGAAGGAGATCAGTGTTAGACACTCACCTTTGAGAAACATTGATCCCTGGATTTGTGGCCATCAGTGAAGTGAACACGTGGTGAGATCCACGTGATATGCACATAAAGCATGTGTGTGCCACATTTTGAGAAATACTGAACCATCCGCTGAGCTCATCATACGGAATGGAGGAGGAGGAAGGACAGAACAAGGACCTCCACAAGGATGTCAGGCTGAATTTCTCTCAGCCTTTGAGGGCCTGGGCAGGTTAATGTTAGTCTGCGCTGACCCCTAGTGGCAGAAAAGGCGGCAGATACCCTCAATTAAGTATACAGAGTCCTTGCCATACCTGCAAGACTCCTTAGGCACTGTGGCCTGAACAGTACCACTGATGGTAGATGAAACTTGCTAGGGCCAAGTGGGACCCTCCCTCCCACAAACCCAGCCTTTGGCATCTCCAGACCCCCTTTTCTCCTGAGGTAGGAAATTGTGATACCAGGATGGCCCCCACTTCCTTTTGTGGCCTAGTGAGAGAGCACAGGTTTTATACTTGGCCCCACTCCATTCATTCCATGGGACCACAGCTGTGTGACTTCGAATGATCACCTTCTATCCTGGTTTTTCCATGCTGGAAGGGGGAAAGGCCTAGTGTCAGACCTTAGAGAGCTCCCATATTGGAGCCATCTCAGTATCTTTGTCTCCAAGGGTCCCTTAGCTACTTCTCATCTCAGAAGCTCGGCATTGTGGGAGTTCAGTATGATTTGTATTTGCAAAGCTCAGTAGATTGACCAGACAGGATCCCACAGCACATGGGGCTTCCGGGGCTTCCTAACCCACCCTGGATCCTTCATAAGGAAGACGCCACTGATCGCAGAGCAGAGCATAAATGGTGAGCTTGGGAAGCCATTGCTGATGACAATAGTGGTGGTGACCACACCTGAGGGCCAGAGGCCCATAAAGAAGCTGAGATTTATGGAGCTTATACCTCATTGAGGAATGCTTTGTCGTTATCCAGGGATGTGTCAGCATCCTGCCATTAGTGTCTCCAAGCTCTGACGCTTGGGTGGTGATGTGAATCACATGTGCTGGCTGTCGCAACCTTGTCACAGGAACGCTGTTGCTAGGCAACCATCCTGTGGTCCAGAGTGTGGAGAGGTGATGACTTTACCCCCAGGGACATCTTTGATTCAGAAGAAAGAGGCTGGATGACCCCAGGGACTATGAGACTGGTGGACTTGTGCCTCATTCTTGGCATCTCATCTCCAGGACTGTCATAGTTGTAAATGGCCTTGGTGAATCTTCTCTGGTTGTCCAGATAGAAAGGCAGGCAGGATAGGGCTCTTTGCCATTCCTGAGCTTGGAGACATCCTCCTGGAGAGGTCCCAGGGAAAGCTGGGAGTGTTATGTATGCTGTTTTTCTGGGACCACTGTGTTGTAGATGCATTTCTTCCTGGGTGTCTCAGAGGCAGGAAGTGTTGATTCTTCCTGCAGAGACACCTGTCAGTTGGCACATAGGGTGTGTGTGTGTGTGTGTGTGTGTGTTCAGAAAGGAAGGGATCAGGCCACAGCCTAGTCCTTCTGTCTGTTTTCTGACACTGGGGTTCTGGGAGCACCTCACCTGGACAGGCTTACCCCATGGTGAGGAAAATCTGTTTGTTCATGTGATCACAGCTCGGTGACTGGTGGTTCGGTGGACCATGGGTGTTCAGGGTCTTTTCTGTCTTTTCTCTCTGCCAGCTTTGTGCCTCAGGCTTGACTCCAAGATGGCTGCCCCGGGGTGGGGTGTATGTAGGCTGCATGTGTGTGGGGAACCACCGAGGAGACCTTTCCCTGAAGCCCGCACAGGCCTTTGCTTGCGTTCCACGGGCATGGGATGAGTGAAGTGACCACCTTAGACCGATGGTGACTTGGTCCCATGTGAGCTTTCCCCGGGAGTGTGGAGAGGGCAGGCTCCCCGTGGTTCTCATCACGAGGTTCTCATCTCTTCCCTCCGAGGTGAGGGAAGCCCCTGTTATATACAAGGCTCACTTTGGGGGTGGCAGCAGAAGGGTCATCCACTGTATGCATATGAGAAGAAACTTGATTTGTTTTTTTGAAAGGAGAATCAGCGTGCAGTTCAGCAGCAGCCTGGGCCTACTCCTGCCTTGATATTGTGAGGCATCTATAATCCCCCTTTACTGACCAGGAAGTTGTAGCTCCGAGAAGTTGCTCACTGGACCGTTGTCACACAGGCCTGTTGAGCTCTGAGCTTCACTTCCTAACCTGTCAGATGAAGATGACAACCTTAGCATGTAGGGTGCCGAGGTGCTGAGTCCTCAGACCTCTCTGCCTGGTGTGCTACCTTGTCAGAACATGGGAATTCTCTACATGTGCTAGAGACTGTGCACATGTCAGTGTACATGTCTGTGCATGTGTGCGCTCATGTGCTCACACACACACACTTATGTATGAGTGCATGCATGCGTGTGACAGATGTGTGTATATGTGTGCATGGTGAACATGTGCACACACATGTGCATATGTGCTCATGCATGCGTGTGACTGAATATGTACTCATGCAGGTGTGCATAAGTGTGCATATCCACACACGGGTGTGCTTATGCGTGTGTATGCGAGAATGTGTGTGTGTCTACTTACATGCCAAGGACAAGATCATTACCCAGAGGGAGCTTTGTCACCCTCCTCCCCTGCTGTCCCCACAGAGGGCCATCCGTGTGCGCAGCCACTCCATGGAAACAATGGTGGGCAGCCAGAGGAAGGGGCATGGTGGGAGCATCCCTGGCAGCCTCAGCGGAGGCATCGTCCACAACAACATGGAGCTCACCAAGGCTACCTTCTCGGTGAGTGAAGTGGGCCCTGGACCCCACTGGGTCCTGGCAGAGGGTACCCCCAAAACCTCTGGAGGAAGCACACCTCCATCCAGTGTTTGGTTTGAGGAGGGCAAGCTGGATGAGGGAAACTGAGGCTGCTTGGGGGTGTGACCTGCTACTGCCCTCTCATGGATTAGTAGTCCTCTCCTCCTCTTCTCTGAATTTCCTTGACACCTGGGCTTTCTCTTTTGGACCTTGCAGAATGGTCCTGGAGTATGTTTCCCTGAGGGCTTGGGACCTGAACCAGTGCGGAGTGACTCGTTGGTTATTGTTCATGCATGCAGTGGCCACTCTAGCTTGCTGGGCAACCAGGCCCTGAGTTCACTAGATCTCGCCTGATTCCTGACAGCTGCTTTGGGCAGGTGCTGCACTGAGCTCCCTTCTACATTTGAGGAAAAAGGAGGTTCTCAGTGAGGTTAAGAAACTTGCTAAAAGCCTCCCAGTTAAACTGAAGATCTAGGATTACACACAGGTCTGCCTGAGTCCGTTTATTCTCTGTGTCCCTGTGGGCACAGCTCCCCAGGAGAGAGAGCCCTGGGTTCTGCGGGTGTGGGCCTGACTGACTTGCACCCGGGGCTGGGCAGGCAGGGAAACACAAAGCGTGTCATCCACGTTCTGTTTTCTGGGTTCCCACGCCCTGACCAGGAGCCAGGTGTAGGCCAGAGAGGGGAGGGAAGAGGACCTGGGCCGGGGGTGTGGACTGACTCTGGTGGTTTTATTGGCAGCCTCCTGTGGCAGCGGCCACTGTGAAGAACCAGTCTCGGAGCCCCATCAAGCGGCGATCGGGGCTCTTCCCTCGCCTACACACGGGCTCTGAAGGCCCCGGGGACAGCCGGACGCGATGGTAACTGTCAGGACCCCAATGCCTTCCAGCTGTGGGGTCTGTCAGCTCTCTCCTTCTTGACAGCTGTCAGGTGCCCAGCCATGGGGAGAGCTTTTCTCAGCATTGGGAGATGGCTTTCCTCAACCCCTGTCTCCACGTGCACACTTTCGGCCACTCCAACATCCATCACCCATGCAGCTGTCATCCTCGGAGTACAGCTGACCCTTCCCAGCATGCATCTGCAAAGTTGTGTTTGTACCATGGTGACCCAGGCTGGGTCTGTCTTCCTTTGCCTTCTGTTTTTCAATGCTCCCTCGCACATGCATGTGTATCCCGTCCTCTCCTTCCCATCCCCTGTGCTAGAGATGAAATCTAGGGACTTATGCATGCTAGGCAAGGGCTCAAGCACCGAGCTACACCCCCCACCCTGGCTCCAAGTGTCCCCTCCGTTCATGGAAGTCTTCCCTAATTCTGACAGGTAGAGTTAATTGAGTTAATTGGGCTTCCAGGATGATCTTTTAATTGATGAACCCATTTGTATTTTTTTGGTTTTGGTTTTTGGTCCTGGGACTTGAACTCAGGGCCTGGGCACTGTCCCTGAGCTCTTTTTGCTCAAGGCTAGCACTCTACTATTTTGAACCACAGTGCTACTTCCAGTTTTCTGGTGGTTAATTGGAGATAAGAATCTCATGGACTTTCTTGCTTGGACTGGCTTTGATCTCAGCCCCTTGAGTAGCTAGGATTACAGGCATGAGCCACCAACACCCAGCTTCCATTTTTCTTTTTAAAACAAATATGTTTGGTTTTGGCAGTGGGTTTTGAACTTAGAGGCTCAGGTTTGCTAGTTGGGTGCTCTACCACTATAGACATGTCTCCAGAACTTTTTTTTTTGTGCTAGTTAATTTTGAGAGAGTGTCTTGATTCCTGCCCACGTGTGTGCCTGGGCTTTGATCCACCTATTTTCAGCTTCTTATTGTAGCTAATAGGTGCATGCAGCTGTATTAACTCTTGGGTGAGAAAAGTTCTCATAAACTTTTATGTCCAGGATGTCCTTGAAGGATGATCCTCCCAGTCTCATTCCAGGAGTGCACTATAATCCTATAATGGGCCCAGATGAACCCACTTGTCCATTAATTCATCAAACAGCTTTATTGAGTGCCTGCCCTATGCCAGGCATGGTGCTAAGTGCTTAGAGGGTTGCTATGAAAGACATGGTCTGCCCTCTAGGAGCTCACTGTTCTGTGTGGGAGAGGAAGACATTTAGCCTGGCTTCCAGGTTTCCAAGCTCTCTGGCTGTAAGCCATAGGTGGCATATTAGCCACCTATGCATGCAATACAGGTGTGGCTGCACTCATGCCTTCTTCCTCCGTGAGGAGGATCACATTCTGTGTTCGGAGCCTGTGTATGGGTATGCTGGGTCAGCTAGCCAGGATACCCAGCTCTTCAGCTCCCGGGAGAGGCCTTGACTGGAGAAGGCAGGCAGAAGGCAAGTTGCGGGGGCAGGAGCAGGACAGAAATACAGGTTAGAAACAGCTGAGGGACTGAACGTGACCGTCCAGAGGGCGACTGTGTGGAACCCCAGTGTCCAAGGTCAAGTGGAGGATAGAGCTGGTGAAGGCAACTGGGAACGGGGGGGGGAGAGGCTGCAGAGGGTGGGGTCCCCAAAGCCAGGAGGGAAGAAATTGCATTTGTTCCAGATGTGTAGACAAGCCCTGCATAGTGGTTTATGGGGGTTGACAGCTCATCAGTTACTTCGTCAAAAGTGCAGCAAGGCCATGAGCATCTCCAGAGCAGCTATGATTTAAAAAAAAAAAAAAAAAAAGACACATCACAAACATTGTTAGAGAGGCTGTGAGGTGGGAGCCCTTGCTCACTGCTGGTGGGAGTCTAAAATAGTGCAAATGCTTTGGAAAGCATTCTGGCTAAACAAGTATCATACATTCTACCCCCAGTTTTAGATCCAAGAGAATAAAACAAACCCAGCAGGGTGCTGTGGCTCTTGCACTTCATCCTAGCTGCTCAGGAGACTGAGAGCTGAGGATCATGTTTCAAAGCTGGCCTAGGCAGTAAAGTCTAGAGGTTCTTATTTCCACTAAACTATTCCCCTCCAAAAAAGCTGGAAGCGGAGCTGTGGCTCAAATGGTAGAGCAAAAAAGAAAAAAAAAAGCTCAGGGACAGTTCCCAGACCCTGAATTTAAGCCCCAGGACTGGCATCCAAAAAATAAAAATAAAATAGACTTGTAGGCCAGGGTGCTTGGAGACTCATGCCTATAGTTCCAGCTACTTAGGAGACAGATCTATGGATTACAGTTTAAAAACAGCCTAGGCAGGAACATCCATGAGAATTCTCACTCTCCAATTAATGATCAAAAAGCCAAAAGTAGAGATGTGGCCCAAGTGGCAGAGCTCCAGCCTAGGACAGAGCCAAGGGCCTGACTTCAAGCCACACTACTGGTGTGCATGTGTGTGCACACACACAGACACACACACACAGACACACACACACACACACACACACACACACACACACACACCAAAGAAAAACCCATAATCAAATGAGCAAAAACAAACAAAAAGCTAGCCTGAGTAGTTCACATTTACTGCAACATTATGCATAGTAGCTCCAAACAGAAGCTATTTGGATGTTCATTACTTGATAGCTAGATAGATAAAATATATTCTATTCATAAAATGCAATATTGTTGCAACACAGACAGCTGAGGGACTGATGCATGCTGCAATGTAGGTGAACTTTGAAAATATGCTAGTGAAAGAACCCAGGTGCAAAGACTGTAACACAGTATGTGGTTCCATTTCCATGAAAAGTCTAGGGCAGGCAAGTCCATGGGGTGGGGCAGGGGGAAGGGGGGGTTGTACATGGGGCCAGGGTATTCTTTTAGTAACTCTAAAAGTGTTCTAAAATTAGATTGTGGTGAAGACTGCACTATTGTGAACCCACTAAAAACCATGTACTTGTCCACTCTCACTAGATGGGTTGTGAGCCACGTGTACTATGTCTCAAGAATACAGTTATATAAAGTAGTAGCTAGAGGGCAAAGCCGTGGTGTTCCTGACAGCTGGTACAGGGTCAATGCTGGGCTCCCACATATGGTCTCTGCCATCAAGCCAGAGTTTTGGTGATTCCTGACTCTCACCTCTGAACCTAGTGTGGCCTTTACTACAGGAAGCCACGCAGCCCCCCTGTGTCTGTGGCCATCTTGGGGGCCTGGATGAGGAAGGAAGTCCCAGCACCCACACTCTGTGGAGGGCCTGGGACCCTGCAGTCAGGGCTGTGTCTGGGGATTTCCTCCGTGACCTTGCTCTTCTTCCTGTCCCTTCCCGCAGTGACAGTGCCTCCAGTACCCCCAAGACCCCAGATGGCGGACATTCTTCTCAGGAGATAAAGTCTGAGACCTCATCGAATCCCAGCTCTCCAGAAATCTGCCCCAACAAAGAGAAGTAAGAGTGTGTGAGGGGGGAGGAGGGGAGAGGAAGATAAGAAAGTTGGCTTTTGCTATTCGGAGTCCTGAATGTACCTAATGCCTCCAGGCAAACAGAGCGTGACACCTCTTGCCTCTGGAACTTTCTGGAACCTAAAGGGAGCCAGTGTGGGCAAACTCCACTCTCTGCTGGGTTTGTTGGCCACTAAGTCTGGGGAGGGCCTGAGGCCTGAGGAGACCTTGGTGCCCCCTGTAACCAGGGCTTGCTTGCCTTGTGTCCCGTTCCGTGCAGGCCCTTCATGAAGTTGAAAGAGAATGGCCGTGCCAACATCTCCCGCTCCTCCTCCAGCACCAGCAGCTTCAGCAGCACCGCCGGGGAGGGGGAGGCCATGGAAGAGTGTGACAGTGGGGTAGGTGTACCTTGTCCAGCTGGTGACAGTGCTCTGGGGCCTAACTGGCTCCATGTGCCAGCAAAGGATAAAAAGAATAAAAAGAATAGTGCCACAGGCAACAGGTGGCCTGGGCAGCGGTCACCACCTGCAGGGGGCAGTGTTTGAGTATGGGGGTGTCTCAGTGGAGGACTAGAGCCAGGCTGGGTGCTGTCCCTGCCATGGGACCTGGCTTGAGAGGGGACAAGGTCCTTCCTGGAGGCCCTAACTGGAGCATGGGGTAGGGGGGTTCCTGGAGCCAGGGCTGGAGCAGTAGAAAGGAGAGAGTAGTCTTGGACAGGTGAAGAGCAGCAGCTACCTGGGGCTGGTGGGGTCTAACTGGGGCCCCCCTGGGCAGCCAATGTACTGGCCTTGCTCACCTAGCCTTGCTCACCCAGCCTCTCTCCCCAGAGCAGCCAGCCGTCCACAACCTCACCCTTCAAGCAGGAGGTATTTGTCTACAGCCCGTCCCCGAGCAGCGAGAGCCCCAGCGTGGGGGCCGCCGCCACCCCTATCATCATGAGCCGGAGTCCCACAGGTCAGTGGGGCCTGACTGCTGCTCTTGGGGTACCGCGTCCCAGGCGGGAGCTACTGGCCCATTCCCACTCCTGCTCTGACTTCTGCTAGCTCCATCTAACTTTCAGAGGCCATGCTCTTAGCTTGGGGAAACTGAGGCTCAGAGAACTGAGCCCTTTGAAGGAAGACCCCATAGTGGAGGATCTGGGGTTGTATGGTTAGAACTATGAGCTTTCTCAGTTGCCCCTCACCCTACTCCATACTCACCCAGGGCCCACTAGCCCAGCGATGGGCTGGATAACACCAGGGACCGCGGACAGCATGGGGGAAGGCTGCAGGGGTGAGCGGCAGAGTGTTCTGGAACCATGTAAAGTCAGAGAAGCGGGAGTCTGGGGTCGGCCAGAGAGAGAAGAGAGCTCTAAGCCACTATCGGTGGGCTTCCTGGAGATCCTGGTGATGTTTGTGGCCAGCAGTGGGAACTTCTGGAGCCTCTGCAGTGGCAGAGAAGGTGGCATGGAAAAAGACCATTTTGCTAGCTGTGATGGAAGGGATGGGTAGGAGTTGGGGCGGAAGGAGCCCTGCACAGGCAGAGTGTAGCGAAAGGGCAGGGGGATGGACGTCAAGGAAATAAGATGTACCGGATGGAGAATGGAGTGTCAGGGAAGCAGCAGTCCTTGCTTGTTTGCCTGTAGCACTTGATCCAAACTGCCAGCTTGGATTTTTTTGCTCGTTATTTTGGAGATGGCATCTTTAGGACTTTTCTGCCCAGGCTGGCTACATCCTCTAGATCTCAGCCTCCCGAGGAGCTAGGATTACAGGCATGAGCTCCAGTGGTTTCTGGAGTCAACAAAGCAGTAAATGAAGCCCTGATTGTAGTGCTTGTCAGCTTGTAAGTTCTGTAGCTGATCTCCATCTGTGACATCCCTGAACACAAGGCTTGGGGTGGGTGGGTGGGGGGGGGGGGGAGATGCCACAGCCTAACCCCCCACAGTGTATTCTGCCTCTTTGATGCAACAAATGTGAGAGGAGATGACGTTTGGTAAGTTTTCTTGAATATAATCTATTTGCTTGTAGGCGTATATAATTTTTAAAATGAGTTTGAGCCAGATGATAGTGGCTCACACCTGTAATCCTAACTATTTGGGAGGCTGAGAATGTGGGAGGACTGTTGTTTGAGGCCAGCTTGAGCAGATAACACTCATGAGACTGCTTTTTCAACCTGTCAGCTGGGTACAGCAACATGCAACTGTCATCCTAAATTATGTAGGAACGTTGTAGTTCTAAGCCAGCCCGGGCAGAAAAGCCCATGAGACTACATCTCAATGGGAAAGACCCTAGGTGTGGTGGTGCACACTTGTCCTTGTGCAAGCCTCAAAGAGGCAGGTTGGAGTCCACACACCCAGGCAGCACAAGAAGAAGCTAGAAGCATGACCGAGCAATGGAGTTGTCAGCCATGGCAAGCATGAAGTCCTGAGTTCAAATTCAGGACTTTCTTTGTTGGGACTGCCCAAAATGAAAACTATGACTGGGTTTAATCACTGGCACATGACATTTGTATGAGTTTAGGCCTTGTGTGGTGAGTGAGTCCTAGCCAGCCAACGTGCCCTTTGGAAGGGCCCAGAGTTCCCTTTGTCCAGACCTCCCCCTTCAACAAGTGACCACCTTTCCTTGGGTTTTGTTTTCTTAGATGCCAAAAGCAGAAACTCCCCGAGGTCAAACCTGAAATTTCGCTTTGATAAGCTCAGTCACGCTGGCTCCAGTGCGGTAAGGAACCAGTGCAGGGATTTGTGGGGTGGGTACAGGGGAAATGCTCTACGTCACACACCCCAGGGTGCTCTAAAAGCTGGCTTTCTTTCCTATGGACTGAGGGAGGGAGGTTGGAGTGGCTGCCTCTCTCCTGTGAGGGAAGGGGTCCCTTGAAGAGACAGGGGAAGGAGAGCTCTGGTCAGATCTGGGGGCGGGGGGCAGATGCTGTCTGTACAACCCCACACAATTCAGGCAGGGTCCTACCACTGCCTTTGCTGCTTTTGCCCTCCCTCCATCCCTGGGTCCCTTCCAGAACTCCCCTGATCATTTGCAAACCTCTACCCAAAGCACAGGGGGAGCAGACTGTTAATCGGGTTCTTAAAATCTCTTCTATGGATGTTTCTCCAAACAGGGTCACTAATGTGAAAGAGGATTCCTTCTCCTGTGCGAGGTGAGGGTGTGTTTGTCCCTTGGGGCTCTCAAGTGGGGAATGTGTCCCTTAAAAGTTGGTGACCTTATGACCTGAGGATGGCCAGCTGGGGAGGCCATAGACTGACCTCGTTCCAGAAGCCTACTCGGATGGGCTTCCCTACGTCTGGGGTTAGGGGTGGGGGGAGGACAGACACCTTGGTGCAGCTGGGAAGGGCTGTCCCGTGGAACTGGGGCAATCTCAATAAATGGCCCCCAGCCCCAACATGGAGTCTGGTTCCAGCAGGCAGAAGGGGTAGTGCCTCAGAGCCCCTTCCCCTCCCTGGAGGGAGGATTTCCTCAGTTTACCTTGCTTCCTTGGTTCTTAGGCAAGCCTCTCCCTCCCTGTTCACGAAGGGCTCCAGGCTGGAAGGCGTTTTCCCTGTATGCTTGCTGACATGGAGGCCTGGGGTTCCAGCAGAGCCCATTCAGCATCATTGAGTCCTGAGCTCTTGCTGGTGGAGTCCTGAGCTCTTGCTAGCTCTGCAGCTCCTCCCCTGGGGCTCTAGAGGTCTGAGTCACAGATGGGACCAAAGGGGAAGGGTGTAGCTGATCCTTCTTGATGTTAAACTGGTTTGAAAAGAAGGAAGGGAATGGGAATGCAGCCATTCACTGTTGCCAGGACCTTGACGGTTCTGCTTGCCAAAGTAATGTTTATGCCCAACTTCCAGTACCCTGAGTTCGGTTCCCTTCTCATCCTTTGGGTAGTCAGTGGCCTGTACTCCACTCCTCCCTCCGGACAGCCACACCCACATTTGTTCTGGATCCTTCCTTTACCAAGTACTTGCTTTCCATCTCCTTCTTCCTCATGTCTCCTCCAGGAAAGCCTCGATTCTGTCCTACAGAAGGCTCCCTATTCCAGCCATTTGGGGGCGCTGTCCACTACTCTGTCTCCAGGCCCGCGGGCCCATCAGCTACCTGCCCAGCAGACCAACTATCTGCCCCACATCCCACCCTACCGGCTCCTCCAACCCCCACGTGTGGCTCCCCATCCCTGGCTCTGGACAAGACCTCTTTCCTGGAGGGCCCCCTGCTCCTGACTTCTGATGCGATGTCTGTGTGGGTCATTTGTCATCTCATTGTGTCTGCAGGAAATGGAGAGTTGAAGGGGAGGAGTGTGGGGGTGGTGTATGGGTCCTGGGGGCTTAGGGACAGCGGTAGAGGAGAGGGTAGAGGTGACTGCAGATTGTAAGGGGGACCCCTGGCCACAGAGAAGTGCCTTCCCAGAGTTCTGTCACCACCCATGCATTTAATGGCAGAGGAGCGGCTGCTTTCCCTGGAGCTGAGATTTTCCCAGCATCCTTGCAGCTCTGGAGCAGGTGGAAGCTCAGAGCCAGATCTGAGCGTTGCTGGGACCAGATGGCACTGGGCCTAACTCCTCAAAGGCTCCTGATTGTCCTTGCTCAGGGAGAGGCCCTGGTCCACCTCTCTCCTTGAAGCAGATGATTTTCCTGTGAAGGGTGGGAGTCTGGGAGGACCCAGGAACGAGGGAAAGCAAATGAGCCTGTGCTGGAAGCACATCGTGGGTCAGGGCTCACCAACATCCTGGGAGTTCAAGGAAGACATCGTTGTTCAACCCACTGCACAGAGAGAGCGAGAGGCGTGGTGGGGGAGGACTCGGCAGGTTCCGGTCAGCCCAGTGTATGAGAGTCAGACTTAGGTGAGGAGAAGGACACAATGTCCCCAGCAGTCTTTTTTCTTTTGTTTTGATAGTACTACAGTTTGAACTCAGGGCCTCATGCTTGCTAGGCTGGTGCTCTTCCACTTGAGCCATGCCTCTAGCCCTGGTTTTTGCTGGCTATTTTTGAGATAGACTCTAGCTTCCTAAAGCAAGCATTGTCCTCTCCCCGCCCCCCCAAGCTGTCATCTTGCCCACTTTAGTCTTCTTGTCGTTGCTGGTCACAGATTACAGCCAGTTGCCCTCTGTGGAGATGGAGTTTCATGGACTTTGGCTTGGATCTGTGGTCCTCTCAATCCCAGCCTCCCATGTAGCCTGGGATGACAGGCATGTGTCACTGTGCCTGGCTATGGGTTCATGAACTTTTCTGCCCAGGCTAGCCTGGTACAACCATCTTTTGTTTCTCAGACTCCCATGTGGCTCAGATGACAGGTGTGAGCCACCAGCCCCCTCTCCCTCCGCAGTTTTGTGTGTCTGGCCTCCATAGGGGGTCCAATGCAGCCTTGGGGGAGGGAGCCACTCCTGGCTACTATAACCTTTGGCCATGTCTGGGGGTTTGAACCCTAAACCTCCTCCTAAGTCCATTTCCAGCTGTAGGCTGCCCTCACGCAGTTGTCACTTCCATAGGACTCCTGCAAGCCAGGTCCTGTGGGGGCACCATGCCAGAGCCACCTTCTAGACCAGCTTGTGTAAGGAGAACCCTTTGGCTTCTCCCTGCTGGATCTGCAGGGGGTGAGGGTGGGGGCTGTGCTGCTAGGCGTAGGGGTGGGGGTCATCCAAGTTAAATGCAGTCTGAAGAGCACATCCCTGGAAGTCCTGCAGTTTCAAGTGCACACGGGCTGGCTATGTTCTTGCTCCAGTGAGCAGGTGACTAGGTCTCCAGCATGGCACTTTATTGGTGAAGGGAATGGAATTCATTCCCAGGCCAGGCATAGAAACGGGACTGTTCTAACCATCGTCCCATTGCTTTGGCTGTCAGAGCAGAAAACCACAGTAGATCCTATATGCCGGCCGTGGGGACCGCTCTGTTACCCTGAGTGGGAAATGGGCTTATGTGACACGCTAGTCTGGCCAGCTTTGCTTTCTTGAGAAGGTCAACAAAATATCTGTGTTGCTTTCACTGGAAGTCAGCAGTTAATGTGGAACGTGCTCAACGATAACTCTTCATTCCTTCACAATTATTTCTTTTCTCTTCCTCCTTCTCCTTTGTCTTCTGTTCACAGTGCTGAGGATGAATCTGGGGCCTAATTCATGCTGAACTCGGGCCTTAAAAATGGAGATGGTTAGGAACTGGGCACTTGTAATCCTACCTACCCAGGAAGCTGAAATCTAAGGATAGTGGTTTGAAGCCAGCTTGGGCAGGAAAGTCTGTGTAACTTTTATCTTCCAATAAACTACTCAAAAACATTTTTTTTTTTTAAAGCTGGAAGTGGTGCTGTGGCTTAAGTGGTAGAGCACTAGACTTGAGTGAAAAAGCTCAGGGACAGCACTTAGGCCCTGAGTTCAAGCCCCCAGGACTGAAAAAAATGAAGATGGTTAGTAAAGCCCTAGGCTCAAGAAACGAGGAAGGGGACACAGCTGGTTTCATAGTTCTCACCCTGACCCTTTACGTTGCCAGTTCAAACACTACCTTTGCATTTGGTTTTCAATGCATAAGACATCTCTTGGGAGAGCGGATGGGTTCTAGTAGATCTTAGGACTTCAAGGGCAACGACCTGGCCTAGAACCTGTGGCCCTTTTTCCACCCCCAGACTCCAGCTACCCCTTTCCAAGGGCAAGGACCAAGTACAACTTGTTAAGGCTGTACCTACAGCCTGGTGTGTGTGGTGGTGGTAGGGGGAGGCTGCTGGGTGTTGCACTGAGTTTCACCCCAGTCCCTTGCCCCACCCCAGCCCTGTGCCCTTTCCTCTCTGCTGAGCCATGTGCCCTGTTGGGAGGTTCCAATGTTTCTAGGGCCAAGAGCAGTCAAGCCCCACGCTGCCGGGACAGTGGCTCTGCCCTGTGCCTTACCAGCCCTGGGGAGAAGGGGATTTGGCTAGAAGACTGGAATCCCATTGCCATTGTCTTTGTGATCTGCCCCTTCTCTGCTCCTTAGTTCGTGTGCTAACGTTCCCTGTCATGGTGGCCTCTCACCCCCGCCCCCCTCAAGCTCGGGGAGTGATGATGTGTCGTGTCAGAGATTTCTACGAGTAGAAGCTAGGACGTGTAGCTTGGAAGTGGCCCTTTCTTTCTTTCCTCTTAGTGAGGAGGTGATTTGTAGGTCTCTGCCTATGTAATGTAAATAGTGTACATTTAATTTATTGCTATGGTAGCACATTGTATTTGTTAATGTATAAAACAAATTCTCAAAGGTTGACAAAATGTATATTTTGTTGCTTAAATGTGTCTTTGCAGAAATTGACAATAAATAACATATTTTGTGTCCATCAGTGTTCAGACTTCTTTGTGTGATCTAGGTCAGGTCTGGGCGTCATCTTTGTCATTCCCTGGAGATTGTAAATTAGCTGGCCAATAGATGTGTTACTTGAGTTTGAACGGTGTTTAAAACTTTTCTATGAATCCTTCACTGATGCTTAAGATAAAAAATCATGCATAATTGAAAAAGAAGCACCTAGAATTTTACATAAAATCTCATTTTTCTACTTGAACAAGCCAAATGCTGTTTATCTTTTACGTCGCAGGCATGAATTGGTCAGAACTCAGTGGAGTTTGTCCTTTTGGGTGTGATTTAAGTACACCACAGCTACCACAACTCCCTGCTGTCCACCCCTGCCATATTTTATTCATTCCTGCTTGCTTAGCTTCTGTATGTGTTTGAGATCCCTGATAGTCACTGGCTTCTGGTTTCCTTCCTGCATTTTCACCACTTCTGCCCATTTTCTTTTTTGGAATTCCTGGTTCACTTCCTCAAAGATTCTCTCATGATTACCTCTTCCCTCTTCCCATCTTCCTTTGCCTCTTGAATGGCCATGGCTTGTCCATGCTCCCTGCTTTGCACTGTGTGATTGTATACCTAGAAGTAGAAGTAAGATATTGTCACATATTTTTTTCTTAAAAGAGATTTGAAGGCAAGGGACAGCATCATTCATGGACCTGGTTTTGTGATCCCGGGCAAATAAGTTCCTACAATTTGCATTTTCTTTTATGCATTATTAGAAATACAATCTATAGCTGGGCACATAGTGGCTCACAGCTGTAATCCTAGCTACATAGGAGACTGAAGCCTAGAGGATCAAGGCTTGAAAGCTAGCCAGGTCAGAGAAGTCTGAGAAACTTCATCTCTAGCTAACTAGCAAACATCGGGACTGGAGGCATGGTTGAAATGATAGAGCACCAGCCTAGCAAGCAAGCCACGTGAGTGCAAGGCTGAGTTCAAGCTCTGGTACCTTATACCACAACAGATGCAATGCATAAGGATAAAAATGAATTTAAATATGGGAAAAAACTTTGAAAAACAAAACCTGGCAAGTGTTACTCAGCAGCAGAGGCTCAGTAATAATGATGGGAAGAGCTGATACTTATTGTAAGATGGTCACATGTTTTGCATACATAGTTCTGTTCTGTGTGACCTCCTAGTACTTAAAAATGCAATTGTGTGAACAGATGGCTTATGGGAAAAACAGAGTTAGGTGCTTTGCACCCCAAAAGTTCATCCATGCTACATAAAACAACTTAATGGAAACACGGCTTTATGGATTTTAAATGATCTCAAAATACACACACACTACAATCAATAAGGCTTTTTACCCTGAAGAAGGCCTGAAATTTGCTTCTGGGGGGTGGGTGTTGGGAGGCTTGTCACTTTTGAGTTAGTGTAGAGAGGGGAACAGTGCCTGAGGCTGGATGAAGGTGGTGGCAGCAGATGTGGAGAGACAGGCCAATAGTGCACTTGTATTGGGGTAGCTGGCAGTTAGAGGTGTGTGTGTGTGTGTGTGTGTGTGTGCGCGCGCGCGCGTGTGCAGCTGTTTGCATGGACTTACTATTTCTCTTGGTGCAGTGGTTGAACCCAGAGAACAATTCATTTTACATGTAAGTTGTTCCCTAGCCTCTCAACTGAAATGGGCCCAGTCTCCACTTGAAAAACAACTCAGCAGTGTTCAGCACTGGGGGTGCATACCTGTAATTCTAGCTACTAAGGAGGCTAAAATCCAAGGATTAAAGCTAGACCAGGCAAGAAAGCTCATTAGACTAATGAACCAGCAAAAAAAAGACGTGAAGCTGTGGCTCAAGTGGTAGAGTGCCAACCTTGAGTGAAAAAAGCAAGCAAGATTGTGGGGTCCTGAGTTCAAACCTCAGTACCAACCAACCAGTCAACTATCATTCAACCAATAAAAAAGTCAGCAGCCCTGACTACAGTCTAGTTTAATTATCCCAACAACTCATTATTACCATCTCACTTAAAGGCTAAAGTCATATGTCAGTTTGTGACCCAGATCTGCTAGGCAAACTTCACCACGAAGGTAAGTTCCTGGCTCCCATGAGCCCCGGATTCCCGGAAAAACGACAAGTCAGCTGCATCTCCTGGCTCTGTATTTTCTTTGCCCGGTTTGAACCCCTGTCCTAAAGTCCCCTTCTGCAGCCTCCTGGGCTGGGGGTGGCAGCCGTGATGAGCAGAGCCTCTTCCAAGCCCTTGCTTTCCAGCTCTGTTTTAGATTCCATCTGCTCAGTCCCCGGCTGCAGGTGAAGCTGCATCTTTCACACAAACACCCTGTGCCTCACGGTGGCTTCTTCCTTGCTTCAACCTTCCTTCCTAGAAGCTGGGAGGTCCTGGCTGGAGCTGGACACCTCGGTATGTGTGGGACAGGGCTGAAGGAGGGGAAGATCCTGCTAGTACCCTGAGAGCAACCCTGTTAGTCTAGGTATCCAGGCTGGCACCTTACCATTTGAGCCACAGCTCCACTTCAGCTTTTTGGTGGTTAATTGAAGAGCAGAGTCTCATGGACTTGCCTGCTTAGGGTTGGTTTTGAACCACAATCCTCAAATCTCAGCCTCCTGAGTAGCTAGGATTACAGGCGTGGGCCACCAGTACCCAACTTCTATTCTTGTTACCTAACCACATTTCTTTTCTTTTCTTTCTTTCTTTCTTTTCTTGTGCCAGTCATGGAGCTTGAACTCAGGACCTGGGCAGTGTCCCTCAGCTCTTCAGCTCAAGGCTAACACTCTACCACTTGAACCACAGCACCGCTTCTGGCCTTTTCCGTTTATGTGGTGCTGAGGAATTGAACCCAGGGCCTCAGTGCATGCGAGGCAAGCACTCTACCACTGACCCACCTTCCCAGCCTTACCTAACCACATTTCTGTCAGTAATTTTTCATCTAAGGAAAATTGTTTGACCCTGAAAACTGGCTATAACTCTCCCCTTGTCTGGGTAGTGGTGAGCGGGGTTCAAGCCCTCTCTTCTGTTGCAAGAGTTTGGAATAATGTCTCCTTTGCCTGTTGAACCCTGACTGGTGCAATGTTTCCTTGCCAAGGGTTTGTCTGCCCTCCCACCATGACCCTCTAAGGTCTTCCTATAATTCCACAACAGTGGTGGGGGTGGGGGTGGGAATGGAAGAGACCTATCATTTTGAGACTGTCCCTACAAGAGCACTGTTTCAGGCACTCTGAGGACCAGGCACTGAGTCAAGAACAATGCATGAGGAGACAAGCCCGCGATGCTGAGTGAGAAGCTGGAGAAAGCTGGACAGCTGTCATCCATGATACAAGTCTGAC